CATTCGTACAGCAGAAAATAAAATTCACCCCGTCGACTTGATGGACACCCCAGCATTGCATGTTGCGCCCTCCCTCTCTTGGGGTGCAGTACTACGATGCCGCTGGGGTCACTCAAACCCCTAGAACTGAGCCTCTACCTTAGTCAATCCTCTTTGCTCTCCGCCATGACACTTTCCAGTTCATGCTTCTTTTACTGAAGGACTATATATAGTTTTTCCTTCTCAGCACGTGTTTTTGATTTGGCGGTGTTTTCTATTTATGAGTGAAAAGTTCAGTAAACAATGGGTGAAGGGAAACCGCTAAAGAATGAGAGTGAAGAAGGAGCGGATATTGAAAGTGGTAAAGAATCTTATGAGGATAAAATTCAAAACTGCAGTTCAATCGCTCAACCCATGGCTCCGAAGAAACTAACCAAAAAAATATACAAATGTATCAAGAAAGGTAACCTGGATTTATCAATATTTTCTGCCAAATCCCTTAATTACTCAATTCGTCAATTATTTTTTAAATGTTGATTAATTATTTGTAGCATCTAAACACAAAGGTTACTTGAGAAATGGCCTGAAAGACGTGCAGAAACATCTACGTAAGGGAGAGAGAGGGTACGGATATCATCCTAATAATTTTTATTAATTTAAAGTTAATTAATTAATTTAAATCTGGTGTTGATTGAATATTTGACATATATTTTTTTTTCAGAATTGTTATTTTCGCCGGTGACGTATTTCCCATAGAAATAATGTGTCACCTTCCAATAGTCTGCGAAGACAAGGAGATTCCATACGCGTATGTGCCATCGAAGCAAGACATTGGCACGGCGATGGGAGTGAAAAGAGGAAGTCTTATGGTTCTCATAAAAGATCACGAGGACTACAAGGAGGAGTTCGATGTAGTGCAAGCAGCGATCAAGACTCTCTCGTCTCCCCTCTAGATAAGTCTAAGATTAATCATGAAAAATATACTAACGCGAAAAAAAAAATGGAAGTGTAACGGAGGAAATAGTTTTATGAATGATTTTTTTGAGGCATAAAACACTCGGGTGTAAATAAATAAAACATAAATTTTTCACTCTTTTCTTTTCATAGCCCAAAACCATGAAGATGTACATGACTTATTATTACATTTTTTGTCTCTCCCAACTACATATTTCTCAATAACACATGTTAGTTATTTTTTTCCACATCTTTAAATCTTAAATAGAGTTTTCAATTTAATAGTTCAGCGTGTGTTGGATTATTGGGCTCAAAAATTCAATCAGTAGAGAAGTAGTGGGTGAATTTTATCTTCTGAAAATGTTGATTTCGTTCATATTTCGAGTGTTTTATTAAATTAAAAAAATGTTCAGTAATATTTAAAAATTCGTTTTCACTATTTTTTCCTCCGAATCGGGAGAAAATGCTTCAATTCAATTGATTCCACCACTTCGCTACTTGAATAATCAATGAAAATTTATTTAGCATACGTTCTGATTTCCACCATTGGAATACCATTGATTACGAATAAAAAAGACAGAACGTTGTGCTCGATTTTAAGTTATGCTCGAAGACAGTGTTCAAGAGATCATAATCTTAGTTAAAAAATAATTGGAAAATAACAGGATTTACGTATATCTGCATACGATTAATGGTAAAACCGTAGACTGTGACGTTAATGAGTGCAGCTAATAAGTAGAAAACATGTCGTTTGTAGAAGATAAACCCTCAAGATTGTCCATTTTGTTTATATAACAATGAAATATCGGGGAAAATCAAAGAATCTGTCACCGGTAATTCTCATCTCATCATTCTAATTCTCTTCTACAATTTTATAGTAAAGTGGTGATACGGAGCAAGTTAACTTATCTCTCCGCTGATTTTCTTTTCGCAAAATCCACCGAATGCTTAACTTACCTCGTTTTACTACTTCACTCCAGTATTTCTCTGAGACCCACACACCGCCAAGATAATTCCATAATAACTCCAACTTGAATAATTCCCTCACTATCTCGCCAAATGAAATCTTACGCTCTTATATTTCCATATAAATCAGGCCGTGAATGATATGACTCGTTCAAATGATTTCACTCATTTTACCATTTTGCCAAAGGTATTTTACCTTTTACTGACTTTATCTCACTCCCTACACTGTCTTTTCTCACTCTTCATGTATCCAGTAAAAAATGATAGCTTATTTAATTTATACATAATAACATTGACATTGGAAATTGACATAGCCGATAGCAATAATATTTCTACGTGTCCACTATTCTTTTCCCCTCATTAAAATGATCCATCGCGTATTCCGTTGTGCCTCTCTCCATTCAAAGACTCTCGAAATCAAATAATAATAACGAAGAGGCTACACAAAATTTTTCTGTCTGCATCATTAAAACACCGAGATGTAGACTATCTAATCGAAATCCTAAGCAACTACAACATTCACAATCAGTTAGATGATTAAGTTGCTTGGTCCAGCATGCAGATGCCTTCATTATTTACTTTGGGATTTTCGACTTTTTTTTTCAGTCGCATAACCACTGCAATAAATTTTCATAGGTAAATTCAACTCAGTCACAATTAAATTACGGTAATCATTACATCTACGCCAGTACTAGTTAATAATTCTCGCGTTTCAATTTCTTCTCATTTCCATAATCTCCTGCACAGCTCCGGCATTCAATAATTTTTTGAACTTCATCTCGATGTAGTCATAAATATAGCGATGCAGAAAATATCTAGCTTAGAATAATAAAGATGAGTAATACTTTGAAAAATGGAGTACAGTGGAATTCTATTATAGTCGCACCTCTTCGCGATTTCTGTCTTCAATTCAGCATGAGCCATTATTCATTCATTCATTCGGTTTTTTTTAAATTGAATATTGATATGCTTATTGTTCTTCCTCTCGCATTCCTTCATTATCATTCTAGCCCCAGGTTGAAGTTGTCCGAATGATTATCGTGGATGTATGGGTATTGAACTACGAAAAATATATTTGTCTCGACTGATTACTACCTTCATCAATTAATAATACACGATGGGAATCGGATTTGATATTTTGTTGCTAAGTAGCACACTGAAAAAATATAAACATCTAAAATGATTTCGTCTGTCAGTGAAGCCCAACAAAATTATTGAGATGATTTATAATCATTAATCGAATCCGACGAATCTCATTTAATTCCTAGTCTACAAGCCAGTCTCTTATTGTGTTATTCTACTCGCACCATTTCCAGCCTTTGCTTTGGACATTCATTATTCATTCAACAATTCGTCACTGATAAGAACTCTCCACAAATAAAATACAAATAATTAATAGTATTTCTCACAGTCACTAATACTGACACCCTTACTTATTATTCTCACAAATCTCTTGTGAAGTGGATAAGTAAGATGAAATATACAATTGTTGGTGTAGATTTTTTGTAATTCCTGGGGAGTTGTTCCTCGAAAAACTGTCCAATATAATCAGCAAAATCATTGATACATTCATCTGTTGTCCACTTCACTCCTAATATATCATTTATAGAAATCTCAACGTTAGTCTTCGACGATAATTATTCCGCAGAATAGCCTCAATCTCAATTCGGACTCAACAAATAGTCAAGATAACGTTCACAGACTAACGGCAAAACACTTTCAAATACTTTCATTGTGCCACGCCAATGAGCTAATAGTAATTATATCATATATTTTATATATAATATTCGGCTTGACAAACAAATAGAAGATGAGTTACTCTGACGTCTGTCTCGCACTTTGGCGTCAATCAAACAAATTGAAATGATCTCCGATTATTATTCTCCCTCGTATAATTTTCCATGCTAACGTTCTTATATCGCCCACATTATTTTCTGTTTTATTTTTTCGCCATTTGTATTGTTAATTAACTTAAGTATAAATTTGTAGCAGTATCAAAATGGTAAAAATCGTGCAAATGAATACCATGAGCACGAGTAGTATCAGAATGAATCTGAATGAGCGGCTTATGCCGCTTGGCTCTTGTCATACGATCTCACCAGATTCGGTGGAGGCATCGAAAAGTGGACGATCAGCTGGTGTTTCTGTTGTTGAACTTGTTGTACCAGTTTCCTCACGTCGACTCTTGCTCGATCCTGAGAAACATAAACAGCCTGATTGATTACGATTACGTTTCAGAGTGGGTTTGTTCTCTTTGTCATGCTCGGCTAGACATTTTTGGTAGTAATCGTAATCCTTCAAGTACCTGAAAAATCAATTGAAAACGAAAATATGATGAGGATTCTGGATTGATTTTAAAAACATTAAACTCCAATTTCAAAGGGAAAATAATATCTACCAAACAGGTGGCCATCGATGTTCGTTCAAATATTCCTGATTCTCTGGATGCAAAAGTCTCACACTTCTCGGTGACATTTTACACAGTTTATTATAATTAACACACAGATGATCCATACACCAGTCGGCAAGTTGATCGGCATTGTGCAACTTGCAAGGCTCTAGCAGCCTAAGACAGTTCTCGACAGCCTCATTTCCGTCGTTCTGGGCTAGCCTGTCTAAATCTTCAATCACTCGGCTCTCAACGAGATTAACAAGGCGAGGTAGACACAGCCGATTCGCCAATTCCAGGAGATTCAAACACCTGCCTGATGATATTGCGGGTACCTCGTCGGTGTATAAATAGCACAGAAGCTTGTGGAATGTGTACTCGCGAACACCAGGAAAAACAATCTGTTTCAATTTCAATGCCATGACCATTCCATTATCTCTCCATGTTTTTTTTTTTTGCTTGTACTTACCACTTTAGCACTGCTCTCACGAAAATCACCAGAAAACATGGCTTTCATCATGTCACACCGTGCTGTTAGAATTGCTCGATGTGCTGGCATGCTACCGTCGTCCAAGTCAAAGACAACATCAGCGAATAGACCTTGAAGGAAAGAACAAATTATTCCTGTGGATTTGCTCGCTATGAAATTTTTTTGGAAGGAGACCCATTGAAAAATACCTTGATCCAAACAAATATCCTCTAGCCGCTGTCTCACAACCTGTTTGTATTGATTATTCAGATCACTGTTCATGAATTGTGCCCTCGACTGAATACTCCCAAGGACCATCCGTAATTGTGGCAGATCAAGAAATTCAGCGGCCTGTTTGATCTCCTAGTAATCATAAAAAAAAATTTCTGAGTTTAAAAAGAAAATCACCACTTTTCGGGTTAATCCCGATCTTAAGATCAGTGTTACAAATGGTTCATGAAATCCTCTAACTCGTGTGAACAGGAAACATCGCCATGAAGGATGGATAATAAACGACCTGAAAAATACTGGAGACAGACATGTGAAGGGAATTATGGTGCTAGGCATGCGATATCTGTGGATGTTATCGATGACGTCTTCGAGGATACGATGATGATTTTTTTTTTATTTACGTACCACCGTAATGTTACAAATATTTGCGGTACTAACCAGTAGTAGCCCAATAGGAGCTGTCTGAAATAATAGGAATAAGTTAGTTCTCGAAAGAAATTAAGGTAAGCAACTCTTACTTGCCCCGCAAGCATTTATCAAAATAATAAAAAAAATAGTGAAAGAAAAAAGTTATTGATGTGCGCTGCAACTAGAAGGAATCACTGAATTCAATCGTTGGCCTGAAGAAAGACTGTACAACTCGCAGGATTTCGTAATCGAACAAAATCACATGTCATTGAAATAAATATCCTGATTATTTCTCGGGCATTTTCTCCTTAAATCCGTGAAATTCCAAATATTCTTCAACACGTCGATGGAATGAAGTTCCACCCAACAATAAATATCAATAAAAATATAGTGTATATTGAAATATCCTCTTATAGAGTGCATAAGCCAATGAATTTCAACGCACTTGTAGATCATGGTAGCGTTTGTCGAGGCTTCCGGTGTAGATAAATTGAAGACACTGTTGCATGGCCTGGGGCGTAATAAGTTTCGATAGTGTGACAATTGTTGTTGGCTGCTGGACACCATTGACACTCTCCGTCTGTAATTGACAGTTGAAAATAATCTTTGAAGATGATCATTCAATTATCATTGCTATTTATAGTCTTGCCACGTGAATGCTACTCGTAAAATAAATACAATGACAAACGTAAATAAAGTATGTACGTTCGTCGACCGTATCATCGTCACTTAAGGCCCCGCATTCTTCAAGGTTTTTAGTTAATTTCAAAGGCAAGTGGGTGGGCAAACGATCATACTGTCATTTAGTGATTTATTGTCCCATTGAAAAAGAGCACGCGATGAATTTCCTCGACAATCTGCATCGAATTTACCTTTCGTCGTGAGGTTGCTTATTCATTATTCTTTTATCAAGGTAAAACTTTAATTTTTGTATTTCCACTGATAAATTATCCTCTTACCAATTTTACAGCGTATTTTTACATTTCGAGATTAATTCTAATTGAATGTGAATTGAACTTGATTATTTTGTTTTTCAAACGTACCAGGGTGATGCGAATTGTTTGGAATGCCGGATGATTGAGCTCTCGCATTGCACCATTTGCTTTCCTCTGGTCCATTGTCGGCAGTACCTGAAAACTCGAGCGACGCTTCAATTGCTCCCAAACTCTGAAACAAGTTTTATCGTTTTCATTCCACGTCTCTCGGGTGATTGAACGAGTGACGCAAAGAAAATTAAAGTAAAAGATCAATTTTTTCACTCGGTTTTCGCCTGAAATTACTTGAGGAAAAATATCCGATCATTTTTTTTTTCGATTGGTCTTGTAGAATTTTTTCTACGTGGCACTTATATTCAAGATGTTTGCACAATCGATAATACTGTCAAGTTCCTCCTGAACGGCCATTGCCTGTCATCTTTTTGTCGTAGAAATAATACTCACTTGGCTGGTTTGACCTGATCGGTACGAATCAAGCACTCGGTGTCATCATTGAAGTCACCGACTGTAGCTTCTCCAAAAGTGCTCACCATGCTCGATTCACTGGAGCTCCTCGGTGTCAACTCATGCTCCATGGAGAATAGTCTGTGAAAAGCTGGTGATGCTGCAGCAAGTAGACACCTGTGTGCAGCAAAATTCATGCTACCAGCGATTAAAGTGACATCAGTATGCACTGGACGAATCCAAAGTGCTTTCATATTTTCCTCGTAAGTGCTTGCCGCTAGACACACTTCAGGTGGTATTGGTTTTGGTGGGCAGAATGGTGCTTGTAGCAGTGGACGTTGTACTCGTTTTAAATTAGTCATCCAAAATCTCTGCTGTCTGCGTGCTATGAGTGCAGCACGAATGGAATTTTCAAAAACCTCATTCACCCCATAATAAGTAAAAACACTGGCTTCGTAGTAATGAACACCAAGTTCCCTGGCAACTGCTCGTGCCTGGTCCGGCATGACGAGATCACTCTTTCGGGTTGCTCTATTACAATTGCAAATTAAATGATAAAAGGTCAGGTCAGGACGCAGTGCTAAAACCATTAAAGATCATTAAATAATGATAGCAGTACCTAACGAATGGGCTACGATCCCTGAAGTAACTCAGATAAGTTTCATCCCGATACATGTATCGCAGATCATTCTTGCAACCAACGAGGAGTACAGGTGTCTGTGGACAAAATCTCCGGATCTCCGGATACCACATAGCCTTGCAATTGCGCAAGGATACGGGGTTGGTGATCGAAAAGCATAGCAGCACCACGTCAGACCTATAAATTTTCAATCACTTGGATATTGAAAAAGCCACTAGGCCAACAATAAATTCACCTTCCATACGCAAATCTGCGATCTTTCTCATGATCCCCGAAGGTGTCCCACAGTCTCAGGGAGACGTTGACGTTGTCGACGATCTCCCAGGAACGTTCGAGAACCTGTTACATATTATCACATATTCATGATCAGTGAAGATGAATAATGTGAATTAAATGGATAGTTTGAAATGGAGATTCTCACGTCTTTGTAAATTCGGTACTGGTCGATGGCCCATACTGTCGGCACGTGGGTGGTTAGCAATTGAGATAGTGATACATGCTTGTTGCAGGCCCTAGCGCATATCAGCCGGGTCTTACCAACAGCAGTATCACCAACAACAACGCACTTCACCAGCTCCTGATGTGGCTGCTCATTGTCCATCACCGGCAGTCACCCCTTTTCATAAAATTCACCCTTTGTGCGCGGTCCAGTATGGCTTTCCTCACTCTCTCATTGACCAACCACAACATTCGACCTGAATCAAAAACATTTCATCAACTCATTGACAATAGAGCAATCCCCCTAATTATAATTTTCTAGGTGCGCCGCACAAAATTATTCGAAGGGTTTATAAAATCATTTCTACTTGCTGCTGACGACTCATTTTTATTTTATTCGAAGAAGATATGGTACGGAATTTCAAAAGAACACTTGTTCTGTACGATTTCTCCTTCCTTCTGCTTTAATTCCTTCGATATAAATTCTTGACGTGGAAGTTAATACTATATCCAACATGACTATTGATTTGACCCCGGACGTATTGCACTCTGCCTATATTTAGAACCAAAAAGTTAGTAAACCTCAACCTTAACCCAATGAGAATCTCGAGTTGAAACCAAACTGATACTTCATTGCCAAAGAAAAATCATCATCGATCTTGTGACGCACATTCACAAGTTCAAATCAAGGATAAATCAATTTTTACCGATTCACTACGAAAAATGATACCCACTGGAAACACTATTGTCTCAGCAGGCCAATAAATTCACCCTATTATAAAACTCATTCAGTAATATTCGCTCTTCCAATCAATAAAATTGAGTTGTTAGAATTCAAACTGAGTCAGAATTACCACGAATCCCGCATCATTAAGAAATCAAAATAAAAATATATAATGAAATATTTTAAGGATAATTGACTAAGCGTGTCATCAAAGTTCCAACACGAGAGAAAAATGCAGATAATCAAGTTCAAGGTAATACATGCCAAGCACGTGTCATTGATTTTCTGCTTTGAATTTAAAAGCAAAATACTGAGGCGGCCTGTATGTTACGAGAACTGGAAAAATTCTAGAAAACAGTTTGCATGGTGTTGTAGGGAAAATAAAAAGCTATTTGTTGTATACTATAGACGGCTCTTTATTGAACTGATAAAAAATAATCCCGTCAGAATATCAAGTGACAGAAAATATCAATAATAATAATAATAATAGTGTAGGAAATAAAACTGCTTGTCACGTGAAATGGTTTGACCCATGCAGATGGACCAGCCCATTATTCCCTCGAAACAATATCCGGTAAAAGTGTCTATAAATATCGCATGAAGCATCCACTCCACCCCTTCAAGCATCAATTTCACCAACATTTATTGGATTGCTTTATTTCTCCTTTCCTTCCACAGCCTCGTGCTCCAGTAGCTTTCACTCTTCTTCAGCGTCCTGTTCACGCGCAATTTGCGGTTGTTACAAATGTTCAGTAACCTTGAATAAGGGCGCACTTGTACGCAACACGTGACTTGCCATTCTCGTCTTTACAGGTATGAGAAATTACAATACCAATAATATATCGATATTTTTCAGGAATTTTATTTGACTGAAGACGTACACCCAAAGCCGCGATAAAAAGGGACGAATTCTCTGAAATATAATATCAATCAAGGATAGAGCCTGAAGTACAGTCAACAATTCTTGATTCCTTTGGCTTTCAATAATGATCTAGGGGCAGGGTAAGGCTAGCCAAAGGGGAAATTCTAGGAGAGATGAGGTAGGGGAGAAGTTAGGGGTCTATTTTGTTTCATAAATAAAAAATGAGAGGATAAAAAATAGGGGATGAAGCTTTTATCCACGGGTAGGGAGTTTGACGCTGGCGCATTGCAGAAATGTTGAGAGAGGTCAATGGTACCCAAGGACTGAATCCTCCCCTCGATCTAAGGGCATTTTCGGTGCACATTGAGTGCACCTCTTTATATATATATTCGTTGATTCATTGAAGAATCCCGGGAATACCCCATGATTCCACGAGGAAGTGTCCGCGATTTCAAATCCTTATAATCACTGGCAATCCTTCAAGAGAGAATATCAATTCCTGATACATTATTTTTACTATTATTATTCTTCTGCAATATATTTGTAAATGAATTTTCAAGTAATCCTCAACGTTTTGCCGCTCCAATTATTATACCCGTGTAATGTTATTAGTAATAGTAATAATAACTTCTTGTAAATAATTGGGACGACGATCTGAACACTTGTTTCATCGCAATTCTATCGACTATTCTCCAGTCTAGGTCTAGTTCATTGTTAATCCATAAACATGCACACTAGGTGCAACGGAAACTAACTGCTGCAGTACTTATTCAATATTAAAATTGATCGTTTTGAAAAAAATGCAGACAATTGCCATGACGAATTTATGCAAAAGAAATGATTGCACCACTCGGTGCAAGAGTGGAATTGAATTTAAATTCAATCGGTAAATGATCAATTGAATTTTAACATCAATTTGTTTCTAAGAATTTGAGAGTAAAATAGAGCGGTGTCCCCGAATAGGGGACATTGTATCTGAGGGAACGTAATGCAACGTAACTCACACGAGAGAATCGTCACTGACGGGTCTTACATAACAACGTAATAATGACAGCCACGCGGATTGTTATAAAACATACTTTACGAAAATTCATTTTCGTCCGTAGTCTTTTCACCGAATATTTAAATAAATCATCGAATTGATCATTTATACCTGGTGAATCAATCGATACTCACCTCAATGCGATTTCATTGGCTCCAGTCTTGTCAAATGATCAAAGTCAATCCATTCACTGACAGCGGAAACAAATGTCATGTCAACGTGGATTTAAATTAACCGATAAATCTAATTGTCTTCTACGATTGGCTTATTTGGATTACGATTTTAATTGAGCCCAACTCTTATCTAAAATGGAGTTGCTTTGATTCTCTTATTTTACGATTATGTGGTAGGTGAGAAATTATTTCACTCGGTGATTTCACTCTTGACAGTTGCCCGGTAAGCACGACACTGAATGAACCCACTGTGACCCCAACTACCATCGCCATCGCGCCTCCTCTTTCCCACCCACCACCTTTCTTCCCCTCTCCTCACGTTTTTTTAATAACAATTCCATCATCATATGATTCAAGCGAAAAAAGGCTACTTTATTGTACGATTCGCGCGCAAAAAGCATTTTCTCATAAGATTCGTAAAGTTTTATACGTTCGTTACCCGTGAAAGAAAAATTCATTTCTTTCGCTTGTATTCTATTATAATATTTTGCCATTCAATATTGAGGAGGCAATGGTTTAATTCCTTTGGATGCAATTCATTGGGTGATCGAGCTGGAATAAAGGATTCTCTGGGCTTTCGCGAAGTGACTTTTTATTCTGCGGAGCTGTTTGATTGCTGATTGTTCGAGGCATTAAAAGTGATTTTATCGGTTTGAGAGTGGGGTAGGATGAGGGTAATTTTTTTTTTCAAGATGATTTTCATCGCGGGTCAATCTCTTCGCACATCTTCCAAAGTGCAGTTCACGCGCATGCTGAGTTCTGCTGTGACGTTGGTAGAAACGAAAAATCAATCCAGCATTTGTTGGATATATGTACAGTGGATTTTAACATTGGGTGAATAGGTCGACAGAGACGTGTTGTTTGAGTTTGAAGATGAGGACGGAATGTCTAATTGATTGGTTATTTCCCGTTTATAACGTGAAAGCTGCAAATTACGAAGACATTTTAGCGCAATTAGTTTTTCCATTAGCTCCATCCTATTTTTCGGAATAACATATGACGAAATGATTGCCATTTATTTTTCATGTATCCGTCGAGATAATATAATTTATTGATAAATATATAATATAAATTATTGAAAAAGCAGTTGATTATTTATTTTTATAAGAATACATACAGTATGATTGAAAAATTATGGCGGGTATTGCATCCATCGGTCACTTATCTATCTCGGATATCTAATGTTTATGATAATGATTATTATTGTATTTGAAGGGCAGCGGCAGCAACGCAGGTTCTCTCCGACAGATGGTACCACAGAATTCGTTTCTGGAGATTGATAGCATTTTTATCATGTCCTGTAATATTAACGACGGAATAAAAATTTGAATTCATGTTTTCCAATATGAAAAGCGATGAATATTCAATATATCATGATAATCTACCTCAATCAATATTCAACTGTCTAAATGATCCCTGAATACCCCCCAAGTCAGCAGCGAGCGATGATGATGATGTTGGCAATCTGACTTTCTCATTTGTCCTGCTTACTTTTTCCTCCCTCAAGAGCCAGTCCCTGTTTTTCTCAATTTTCATCCTCCAGGCGTCTGATAATTTAACGCGATAATTATCTTCATCATCGTATTTACTATATAAATTTAATTTTAATGATTGATGATTTAATGACTGATAACTGACCATTGAGCTCGTCCATGGTGCCGGCTTTGCCACCCCATTCATTCGGTAAAATGTCTTTATTCATGTATGCGGCGAGTTCTTCACCACCCCCGGTGTGTATCCGGAACTGAGACAAATCAAAGGATCAGTAAATTTATAACTGATTTAATTTTACTCGAGACTTGATAGATTCATCGAGATGTCATTTTAATTGATTCGGTACCTTTTGTATGAGCTTCTCCTTGAGCAGTGGATAAAAAATATTGAGTACTTTGCCAATGAACCCCGGGGCATGGAGGTAATAAACCCTGTGCAATCTCAATGGCATGCTATCCTGAGCTGCAAGCATCGCCTTCCTCACAATCGGTTGCGTCGGACTGCATTTAGCAAAATGAGCAGCAGTCCAGCCCTGACCCGCGAATTCAAAGATCGAAAAAACGAGCGACAAAATTATAGACGTCAATACAAGAATTTTATTTAATCTTATTCAATCTTAATCTTAATTAATAAATTGATTAATTGATTCGATTATTTTCGTGTAGATGTTTTTACCTCAAGATCCAAGATCATGACGTTGGAGAGACATGACTCATCGATTAAACGTGCATCCATTACCATTAGAATACGACGCGTGATCGCTTGGATAGAGAACCTATCGATTGATCTGTCTTTCAATCGTAAAACAGTGACACGATGGCCTTCGTCAGTTAACGATGGCAGAACAAAGTATTGCCTAATTACGGATAAAATCAGAAAAAGTACATGAGCAATGAAAATGACACTGTTGCGTTAATGAGGGGCAAATTGATTGTTATTATCACATAATGTGAGTAATGCATTTTTTTTTGAGGACGTGAAGTATTTTTGTTCAGTTATGCCTTTGCAGTAGACGAAAGGGAATTTTCAGTGGAAATTTCGGCGAATACTTACACAGCATCGCAGCATTCTTGAACGTTACGACTCAGAGGATCACGATTGGCAAAAAATTCAGGCAGGGCTGATCTAGCGCTGAAATAACGCTCTAAGATCATCTTGCAACGTTCGATACTATTTTTACACCCGAAAAGGAATTTCTCCAGTCTCGCATCATCTGTGGAGTTGAGGAGGAATGATTTATTCAATTATTCATAATCATTTGAAATCGGAAGTGAATTAAATTCAGTTTTTCATGAATTTCGATTTGATATTCAAAGTAGATTCGACGCTAAGTGCTGTCCATCGACGAAACCCAGTAATCCAAATTGCTACAACCATTTTCAGCTGGAAGGTTTATTATTTTATTGGTTGAAAAATGGAGTAACGGGGTCCACGTGAAAGCAGTAATGGAAGCAATTAGCTAAGGCGTAGTAAAAAGACTGAGACGTCTTCTATCGAGGCAATTAAAGGCTTAGCATAGCTTCAAAAAATTCAAATGTCGCCGCAATTAACATACATGAAATTTTTCATATAATTTAATTCACTACAAAAAGCACTTTTATGCTGAGATTAAATAAATCATTGACCGGAGTGAATGGGTGTTACCCAATGTGCAGATGTTAATCAACATTTTTTCGTACCCACATCATTCTTAGAAGCTCCCGTGGAATTTGGATAAATAAAATAAAAGGAATATTAATAAAAGTATTGATGAGCTCACCCATGTGATTCGGCAAATGCGGCTGTTTGGATAGCCATTCCCGAATGGCCTGGATGTCCCTCTTCCTCATCTCTGGATTTGGAGGTATTTCATCATCAATCACCTTCTGTTGCTTCACAGTCGGTGGTAAAAGCGTCATCTTTCCTACAATAAATCCGAAATAAATTACATAACTTCTACATAAAACTACATATAATTGTGCCGAGCGAATGATTATTGACTCGAGGTTTAAACTCAAGTCCAATATTGACAGTTATTATTTATTCTCTTTCCTATATTTATCTTTGTTCTACGCAATTATGAGTGTTTTCGTGAATGAGAGTGACTAAAAAGAATACTAGTCTGGCCATCAATTTTTTTTTGCATCAGATCCTTGCAGATAAAGGAATTTTTCGAATTATCATAAACTGCTGTCTTTTGTATTTTTAATTCATTGAGAAGTTCATCTTTGTTGATTCTCCAAATGACGTAGGAAAGTTGCAGTGTTAGGGAGCAGTTCGACTTCGATTGCAGAAAACTGTGGCCTAGTATTTCCAATTACTGTGGTTTCAGAACAGGTTTTCAGTTGGCAAGTGTAATGCAAGTGTGAGCAATTTAATCTTATAAAAAGTCAATTTTATCCTAGGTATCCCACTTTATTGTCTTCAACAGGCAATCAATCAAAGGAAGAACCAAGTTGTGATAGATTCATTTTTTCCCATGGAGGAAATTGGTTGAGTGATAGTATAATCTTGAGGAATTATTTGCATTTATTGATTAACTTATATGTTGGTAATGCGAAGATGCTGAAAGGGAATTGGACACAACAAAAACTGGTTTTTTCCAGCGATCAGACTTATTATAATTGAAGGTCGGCCGGAGAGGGAGAAAAGCCCAATAATAATGCAGCCGCTTATTTTTGCTGGTACTTACACATTGTATTACAAAATTTCGTCAAAAAGCCTGTAATAATTTAGAGCCTCTCATTTGTAAAAAAATAGCCAGCCGCAGCTTCATTATATTCATTAGATGTTTATCTACAGATCGTAATCTCCTTGATCTGCGCAATTGCTATTATCCACGTGGAAAATGATTGCAAATTTTCACTTTGTGATTCTCTTTTTGTGATTTATACAAATCACGAATGCATCTATTCGCTTTTTCAAATCAAACACTTCCCCTAAACTTATATCACTCGATTTTTATTGAACATATTAGATCGTTATCTTTTGATTACTCCCATTTCAATCTACGCAATTCATTTCACTCTAAAATATTCAATAAAAAAAATCATGAGATTTTAAATTGCCACTTGCATTGAAAAACAAACAAAAAATATAATCGTCAGCTGACAATTGTTAATTTAAAATTTTTAAAAAGAAAACCACGAAAATTCATCGAAAAAGGGCAAATGGCGAATAACGCTGAACCATTACAACGAAATATTATGACTTGATTAAAAAAAAATCTACTCACTGTTTAACTGAGAGATAAAGCCAACACTGGAGAGATGAAAAAATCCCAACTGTCACCGGCCTTATTCTGTCGTTACCAATTGCAAACTCCCGACTCTTATGCCTTCGGAATTTTTCAACCAGGGGAATGGCATCGACTCTTTCTCAAACACCACCTCTCCCCCTACCATTATCCGTAAAACTTGTGTTCAATACATAGAGACGAAATGTCACATACCCCGAAGACACGTAACTAATTTGTCACCCATCCCCATCCCCAAATCGTGAAAAACCGATTAAGCCATTCGACATTCCCATCAAATCCCCATCCCACGAGTACTTTTACCAATTTCTTTTGCACATGCAACTCGAAAATTAATTTTTTTTCATGGCTCGTCCCAGTGACAGACAAGTGGGACACTGATACACGCTTGAATCGTCACGTTCACCATGACACTAGCCATTACACCTCAAGTACCTTTTCTATTCCCAAATCCTATCATAATCGTAAACATTTGTACGAGTGTCATGTTCTCATCCTCATGTTCTCGTGGTCCCGCAAACGCTCGCTGATGAGACACTAAAATTCCCGCTCCATCACTCAATTTCTCTTTTACAATTCACTCCATGTCTACTTGAAATTTTATTTTTCAATTGATCTAGTAAAAAAGTAAAAGTTCAATCATTGGAATTATACTTGGTCTACTTTACTGAACCATTTCGACACAATCAAGACATTCGTTGATTCAGCGAATTTGGCGGAATTGAAGATATAGAACGTCAGCTCGTAATTCAACAGTCAAGTTGAAAAACGTAAACACGATGATTTTTTTCATGTTCTGTAAATCATGGAGCTGTCTTATTAATAAAGAAAATTATGAAGAATTATAGGAAGCATTGTAATTACACAATTTTACATAGTGAAATTAACAAACAAAATTAATTTAGATTTCCACTACTAATTTTACAAAAAAAATTCAAAGATTCTTCTTGATTGTGCAACGCAAGTGGAAAGTGTTAATCATCAGTAATAAATGGCGTTAGCCCGACCCAATTACGGCATTATGCGTGACAAGCAGAATTTTCGTCAGATTTATTCTGCACGATAAATTCAATTCGTCTTTCTGCATCGGGTGGGACACGATATGACAAGCAGTCAACAGTTGCGGATTGCTTTGCGGGATCTCTCTCCTTATCGATAACTTGCACGACTTTCTGAATAGTTGAGACCTCCATCACAACCGTCGATTTTCGATTTGATCGTCTTGATGCTGAATTGTGGCCCCTCTGGGTAAAATCTTCAGTTGATGTTACTTTGCCACAACAGATTGGCTCCAACTGCTGATGGGTGTCCCTCTGATCTGGCTGTGCCATTACTCTAAAAAAAATTCATTAAAAATCAACAGAACACGTGATTTCTGAAAAAAAAAATAATCAAATGTTACCCTAAAGATTTAGTCTCTGACTCCGCCATCTGCATTTCGGATTCACTCTTCGGCTTTTTTTCCCTCGACCTAGACATATGCCGTTTTTTCTCCGCCAACTTGGCTCCCAATTTTTGAAGACTCATTTTACTCCTGAGGATTTCATCTTTGAATTTTTTCTTGATCTGCTCTTTCTTCACCGACGAGGATTTAGCTGTACGCGTGCAGCAATGATTTTTTTTATGTTGCAGCCTGCAAGAGAACGGCATGACCTTTTCCATTAAAATTTCCACCAGATGAAATAATTTCCATCCAAGTAGAATGCTTCATTAGCTCTCCGAAATATCCCGTGATATTTTCCAATAAATTCTTCTCATTATAAATCATGTCCTCATAATCAAAAAATTTGTATGGCCACTACAATTAGCTCGACAATTATCCCCTGCCACTCCTCATTACCCCCCAAAACTCTAATGACGAAATCCTCTGCATTAGCTAAAACCATGCCGACTCCCACAAAAAAAATAAAGTGAAATCCGTCTCTTATCAAACCTCCAAGAGAAAAAGAATGAACTCACCATAATGCACAGGTCGTAACAGTCGTGCTGAACATGAAAAAGCAATTTAAGAAAGTAAGCATCAAAAGTGGCTCAAACATCATGAAATAGTGATAAAATTTGGCATAACTCTTAACGAAACTGTATAAACAAAAAGTTGTTGTCCAATGCCCGTGAAATTGCCCCTGAATAGTGAATCGAATAATCGATCAATCGATCAGAGGCGTTGAGGCGTTCTATTCCATGTAATTTGCCTGAATTTGCCTGATTCCCCGGAAATGTCGGTCAGGGGTATAAATATACGACGACAGGTATCCCGCAGTGGTTAATGACAAAACGTGGAAACGGTCGTTGAATTTATCCAGCACTAGCTAGGGATAGGCGACAAAAAGGCACCCCAGGACATCCCTTTGGTGGTGATTCAATCGAAGCCCTGAGCCCTGCGGGATGCCCCTGTCACCCCTGCGGATGCTAAATTTCTCGTGATACAATGCATTATCATACCCGTAATAATAATAATTTCAAGAGGGGTGCAGGGTGAAGATGGTCTCGTTGCATCTGGTGTCATGTCAACAAAAATTCCGGATATCTTCCTCCTGATGGGTCATGCATTTTTTTTTTTTCATTGCGGTTTCGTAATGCTTTGTGCTGCTTTGTCGTGACGTTTGGATACTCATTCATCGGAGAATTGATTTATTGAGATCTATTGTTGTTATCAGCTTATTAAGTATTTTTATTTTCAATGCTCTTATTATTGATGTGCCCTGACGTGCGCAATTGCGCAGCATTCGTGGAAAATTTGCGCTTCGACGCTGAAAATCAATGGTAATATAATTGAATTAAATAAAAATCAACTGATCGAAATTGAAATAAATAAATAAATATCGGTACCAACAATTGTATAGAATAAAAAAATTCCAGATTTTCATTGAAATTTGAAATACCAATTTGGATTTGAAATTTAGATTCTCATAGATTCGTTCAGTTTTTCCAGAATAGAAGACATTAAATCCACCGATTTTTTTGTTCATTTTTTTATGGTCCTCTCAGGATGTACATCGCGGTCACTTGTCGCCTCCATCTCCATTCTCTTCCTCAAATACCGAAGAATCAGCCCGAGGGGAAGAATAGATGGGAGGGAAAAAAAAAATGTCAAGTCCCGTGGCCTCGTCTCGACCTCCTACTGTTCTATCATACGTGACTGTACTGTCACGGTATTTACCGCATATATCGAAGCCCAGATTTTCTCCCCCAAAAAATGCTCCATCCCCTCGAAACCTTTTAATTTATAGGCAGAAGACCTCACAACGCGATCATGAACTCCCACGCCATTCACGAATTATGAACCCTCTAGCATAACTTCTTTTTTTTCTCGACACCTGAGTGAAAACCGCAATTTTTTTTCTCTACTCCTATTGTCCACGAGCTCCGAAGAGTCGTCTCGTTTCACGCGTCATTTTTTTTCAAGCAATGAAAAATGTGTAGCCCCATCAATTCGATATAAAATTCCGATTTAACTTCAAATAAAAATTAAAAAATAAAGAATAAAGAATGTAAGAACTCGAATAACTAATGAATTTAAATTATTTTGATCTGTTTGAAATTGAATTTATGTAAAATTTGGTGTTTACATAGTTTGTTGAATTTGGAAAGGAAAATATTTCTTTGAACTTTTTTTTTCTACAGGTGCCTTTAAAAATTCAAAAAATGCAGATTTTCATCTCCAGGTGTGAAAGGTGTGTACAATTGATGAATGAATTCCATCGAGTCACGGTATTTTCGGTGAATGGCCATTCCAAAGTGACACAGATAATCATTACGCGAATGATGACCTTTTAGACGCTTGTAAAAGTCCCATGAGACACGAATCATCTCATTGAAAGCTACCGAAAAACGCTTACAAGGGTTGTTCATCAATGGGCCATAGACATTGACTGGAAGTCGAAGCCATCGGTGTCCAGGAGAGGGGCCCATTAACGTTTACGTGTTCATTGAGTCGTGCAGAGTGTAGGCTGGAGAGTTGTACGAGGGCCCACAGGAGATTTCATTGAGTGGCCAACCCGTAACGAAGCAATTTCACATTCCTCAATGGCATCCTCAAACCCATACCGGTTACTAGCTACACTCGGGGTGAGCTTTTAAATAGCTAACGATGAATGAACATGAAACTCTACCCCAGGAGGTGATTTTTACGTGGAACTTTTAAATTATAAAAAGAAGAAAAAAATCCATTTTTCACTGGCAACACAAAACTATTGATAATCTTTGACATATCCGTTTGGAAAAAAATATTTTCCGAACTAGAATCGAAGGAAAATATTTATTTTCACAGATGTGCAGTTTATTACTTCTTTTTCTTTGCCTTCTTGCCTTTTGTATCTTTCCTCACCTCTTCCTCCTGCTTTGGTGGCTCAGGGGGTGGAGGAGGCAGAGAAGGGGGAGGTGGAGGAGGCGGGGTAGGAATTCTCTCTGGCATTTTAGGATATCGAACCTCCAGTTCAATATTCCGGTGCTTATGCTCCTTGATATCGGGCTTTTTCTTTATTCTCATCATGAAGATGTTTTGATTGCCAATGGCGATGTGATCCCGTTGAATCTCTTGACTCCCATTTCCCTCCAATTGTGGATGAACCATGATGGTACGTTCATTAGAATTACTGTGATCATCACCTAAATTGTACGAAATTATTTCAGGTCTGAATTTTGGATCGTCGCTGTGCACTTGCGATCGGGAATTTATCCTGAAGATAATCTGATTGTTGTCACCGGCGTTTATGAGCTTTGGCTCTTCGTTGGACGACGGAATTCTGATTTCAGGTATTTCACAGTCACAGGGCGGCTCCCACTGTCTTCTCTTCAGCTTTTTCTGGTCTTTCTCCACGCGAATTAGAAGCTGATTGCCGATTACCTCAGCACCTATTTCGTGGTAATGTTTTTTTGATCGTCCAGAGGAAGACTGAGGACATCCACACGCTAAAATATAAATCGACTGACCATTTTCGAATTCAGACTCGGAATCCCTTTTACTCACCCGAAAGTTCTAAAGTTTCTTGCATTTTATTTCACTGGATGATTTCTCTAATTGTCAAGGTTATTTTTTTAAAACGTGAATGTAGATATGGAACGAAACAACTTCAATCGGTTTATTGTAAATTTCGTAAAAACGTATCGATCAAAAATTCTGGTGAGAAATTGAATAAATACAGGTCTTGGGCAATTCTTTAGCGCAATATGAATTCTGTTCACTTTCTTTTCCCCTCGGCTGATACATATTCATCTGAAGATAACCATGACTCATGTGGATGCGGAGGGTTCCCTGATGAAGACATTAATTGCAATCAAGTTGAAGAAGAAGAAGAGCCAAAGGTCGATGGCACCCCATAAATCACCACATAATATTGATCATAATTTTGATGAATCAATTTTTACAGATAAATTCTGAAATAGTGGAAACCGGCTGTCCATACAAAGAGATGGAAATAATAATCAATGACAATCGAATGGTCCTGAGAATTCAGCGTCTTCCACCCTCTCCAAAGGAAGAGTGGGAACCTCCATGCGATTGTCTTCCTGGGGGGGCCCCCCAAAAAACGGAGCCCCAAACTCAAAGAGTCATTACAGCAGCTCCCATTCCACCTCATCAATCCACCAATCAATCCCCACCGCTCGTTTCTTCAAGACCAATCGATCTCGTTGATAATCCCAACATGTTTCTCCTCAAGATCCGCAAGCGTTCGGAAACTAGTGATAGAAAACGGGAGAATCTTGACCTGGAATTCAGAACCCCCAGGCCGTGGCTCCCAAAGCCCCCCGAGAAGAGAAAAAAATCATTTCGGGAAGAATATGAAGAACAAAAAGAGAATCAAGCCATTAGTGAAGACAATGTGCCACCGACTAAGCAGAAAAAATCGAAAAAAGGAAAAAAATAGAAATCCAATTGTTTAATGAATTGATCATGAAACGATGAATGCAGCAATCCGATTTTCTACTGCATTCTCCTCGAAATTATCTGAACAATAATCGATATCTTCTTTGACTACTGAATTTCGACAGACCTCAAATAGAGATCAATCAAATGGTGTCTATTGTGTTTAAACACAATGCCCCAAGGTTCTTCAAGAAAGGATCAGCTACTGGTGATGATCAGCAGAATAACAGGTGCCAAAGGTACCTCCATGCAATATCGATATTACAAAATCTCTTTAAGCCATTACCAAAAAATTCCACACCTTTACACGAAAAATGTATAACCACTTCACGGAATGATTAATGCACTGGCAGTTTATTGCGTGGGTCGGACACTTAAGTTCCCAAGAGGTCTATCACGAAATTCCAAAAATTTATCAGGTTGGAAGGAAATTTTCTCACGAGTCGAAGTAACTTTGGGTCAGGTGTTTTGTCAATGTTGAATGGTTGTGCACTGATCGGGTCATTCATTCTGGTCTGCAGTCACCCGCCTACTACGAGCCCCATTTTTAAGTAAGAATAGCACACACTGAGGTCATATAGACTCAATAGAAAAGGTAAAAAAGAAAATCTCCAGTGAAAAAATTGACAAGAGAATAAAAACTATTTCTCTTGCCGAGTGTATTGTACTCGAGGCAAAAACGATTATGATCGTTTATGGTTGATGGTATTATCCATTGAAAAAGTAACAGTAGATTGCAGGTGACATTCCTGGCATTAATTTTAGAGGACAAATTGTCGTGATGAGTGAGGCAAACACTTTGGTGGTTATCAGTGATTAAATTTGACTGGAGTAAATAAAAAGGCGTAAAGCAATACTTTCACCTTTTCACCTTTTTACCTTTTTGCCTTTCTGCTTTTTTTTTCCGCAGAGATGCCATTGACCGATTACCTTTGTCAAGTTTAAATGATTTTACAGGTACTGTCACAATATTTATCGTCTTAACAACCGATAGCGGGAACCACCAGGTGTATATACAAGAGAAGTGTAACTTTTCAGGAATTGAGTTGTTACTACGGCATGAGGAGAGACACATTAGCAATTTAAAATTGTTATAATGGTATACACAGACCCCTCGTGGTGGTTCCGTTGATATGTTGACACTGTGGGAAGAGGATGCTCTCTTTGTTGGCATTAAAGTGAAAAAGTCTCGTCGCTTGGAAATTGGATCAGCTCCATTGTGCTTGCCTCTGGGCTATTTGATGTCCCATTGTGCTTTCTTCGTCTCGTTGATAGTATTTAGTAGAGTTTACGACATTTTGGGGTAATTTATTGCTCCCGGGGAGGGTGAATGGATCAATCGTTTGTCGTCGAAACATTTTTATCTCGGACACTCATCCACTGTCATTTATTTCCATTGCATACTGTAAATTTTATTTTTACAATATTGCTTGGATATTTAGGGTAAATTATATTTTTCTCATCTTTCTATTGGTTCGATTTTAGTCGAGCGAACAATAGTATGAAGAAATTCTTCGAATCATCGTTAATGGTTGAAACCCATTCCATTGAATTGAGAAAGTGCCATCACTTGGGAGGCAAAATCTTATAGTTTCCCTAGTCCCTTCGGGTGGTCCTGTATGATAAAAATGTTTGCCTAACGTCATTGTTGCGCATTTGACACTCGACCAGTTTTTGTTATATTTTAAAAAGTGTTTAGGCCCTCTAATAGACGCCCCCGTGGGGAGGCTTGTGTACAATTTCTTCTCCCCCAACTGGCGACTCCACAGTGATTTCCCGATTTTTCATCTTTTTATTCTTTCACTCTGAATTCCAACATTCTCTGACTAAAATCCACTGGGATATCCCATAGATCAACACGTCGACGCACGCCAGGACGTCCAAGGGATCTGATATTCTTAACGCGTTTCTTTGATTTCTTTATTACCATTGAGGAAAAGTGGATTGGACAATGCATCAAGCGGAAATTGTCATCATTTTCTGATGTTCACCATTCAAGACTGGAGATAAGAAGCGATAAATCCATCAGAAAATTCAATACACAAGTCTGCTATTGCTCTGGTGGATGTAGAGACTGGGGAATTTCAAATAATCCTGATACGTTATCCGTCGTTTAAGAGTTTATTAAATAATGTACAATTTTCTGGTAACAAGACCGAACTTTATAGACAGGATTAGAATGATATATTCTTTTTAAAAAAATGGTAAAGAAGTAGCTGAAGAGGTTTGAAGATGTTAAAGTGGGTAAAAGGGAAGCGTCACGTTGTTGTTGACTCTGTAATCCTGAGTAATCCGTTTTTTTCCCCAGGTCGAAAAGCCGAATGGGCTAAACGATCATTTAGCCGGTGGTTGAGTGAGTTGCAACGATGGGGATGATCCGGGGGTATTAGGGGTAAAAGTACGGGTAGAGTGACGGTGGATAAAGTGCATAGAACGAGAAAAACCATTGAAAAGATGAGAGACTGGGGAGACGAGTGAGTGAGAAAGGTAACGTGAATATCTCTGGTGGGGTAAAATAGTCGTATATCTGTTGGACAGTAGGGGGGTGTCAGCGAGTGAACTAGAGGCCAATGTCCCAGCAGGGTTGCCAAACTACCCCTAACAGCTATTTTACTCTTCTCTTTTCACACAACACCGTAACCCAACAATGAGTGTGAGAAATCTTCAGATAAATGAAAATTCGTGACAAATGTCATTTCTCCTTCTCCTATATTTATACCAACTGTTGCGCAGACAAGAATTCTCCTCTCACGCGTCAAGCATCACTCATTTATTTAATCTCAACGAATTGTTATTAATTATCAATTTTTGCATTATTATTGGAGTTAATCTTGACACTCGAGTTATCCAATCAGTAATTTTTTTTAATATTCTTAACAGCAGCTGTTTAAGGAATATTATGTTTTTGGATTGTGATATTTATTATTATTTATTTTATATAATGAATATTTTATTATTTAAAAATCGTCGTTTGTGGGGGAAAAATCCGTTGATATTTGGTGTCTTACCCCTCCCGATGGAGTAAAATCCACCGCAGAATCGACCATAACATTCATAAGCAAAAGCCGCAGTTTCCCCTTCGAGGGCAAGTGACACTCTCGTATAAAAAAAATGTACGAAGAAAAAAGGCTGATAGGGGCCTTGCAGTAAACCAAAGTGTTTTGTTCCCTTTCGGTTTAATATGATGCGGAGGGTAGACCCCGGCATTGCGTGTGTCGCATAATTGAAGAGGAGAGAGCAGGGGGTGGCTCTCGTTGGAAAAAGGGGGTGAAAGAGAAAAGCAACCCCTCGTTCCGCAGAAGGGGCTGGAGCGATCCAGCGAAAAGGGGGAGATATACAAAACGCCGCCATGCTTGATTTAATCGAGAGGAAAATGGTGGCTGCGGGACACATCCTGGCCATTCCATCTTTTTTTTCCTTTGTCCAAATGCCAAAATCTCGCATTTCCGGAACGCTAATATTTATTAATCCAATTGTATTGGTATTCCGGAGAAATCACGTAATAAGTCGCCAGGACAGGGGAAAAGGATTGAATAAAAAAAAAAATCAGTACTAACTGGAAAATTCGGTTGGACAATTTCTGTTATTTATTGGGAAATTGTACAATGAATATTTACAAAAAAGTGATAGTCTTTGGAAAAAATATATAATTCAGATAATGAATGTATATGATTTGTTAGAAAACATATCTGTCGCTTCCCCTCATAGAGCGGAAATCTAACGTCACTTTGTTCGGTTAAATCCCGATTGTATTTACAAGTATACAAAATTTACAGAGTTATTGAAATAATAATCTTTGGGAAAAGTAAAGAACATAATGCCGGATCCTCCACAATTTCTTCAAAAATTTATAACGCAATTTGGTGGACGAATCTGATAATTGAAAATGTTGGAATAAGACGGAACAGCGTGCGGCGATAAATGACTCCCAACACCGTAGGCTGCACCAGGAAGGGAATATGGTCCTCTGTTTTCGTGAGTCCTCACATGTTTTTTCAAATGATCCTTTCTTCCAAATGGCTTTCCACAAATTAAACAGGCGTATGGTCGAAGTCCCGTGTGAATTCTCTTGTGTCTCGTCAACTCTTCATTCCTAGTGAATGACTTTCCACAACTTTCCGCGTCACATTTGAAAGGTCTTTCGCCTGGAATCAACCAAAAAAAAAAACAAAGAATTAGCTAAGATATAAAACTTTAGGAAATTGCTATTGCTATTATTTTTTGGGATAAAGGATTTTGATATTTAGCCAGCCCACCAGCAGCAAGATTTTAAATCTCGAAATGACCCATGAACAACAAAGTCGTAATAAAAGTACAAGCCCCAAGAACAAAAGGCTGACTTGAATGAATCGATGAGCCTTCGAGGTAATAACAGGGGGCATGAGAGTACAACAGGTATGAATGACAACTGGTCAATGCGTAAACAATACTCACCGGTGTGAATCCTAATGTGTCCTTTGAGCTGTCCATTATTGCTGAAGGCCACATCGCAGTACTGACACTTGAACTTCTTGGGTCTGAGCTTCTTGATCTGTTTGGCAGCGACATCCTGCTGATGAATCATCTTAATTGCCTCCTCAATGCTTGGATACTGTCCCATAGGCAGATGCACCCCATACTCATACAATTGTGCTCGATAAGCCTGATACTGTGCGACGTTATCATTGGTCAAGGGTGCAAGATAATCGGGACAGATCGATTGATAAGTCGGTGTGAAGGCAGACGGCGAACCGTGAACGGTGGAGAAGGCACTCGTGGAACTGCTTCGTCCTGTCATTGAATTATCTCCAGTGGATTGAGTATCACTCTCCTGTGTTGACTTGAATACCAACTTTGACAGCATATCGAGACTACCAGAATCGGGAAGATCACCGCCACTTGTTATCGAGCACGATGATACACTCTGGGAGTTGGATGTCACACTGTGATTATCATCCTCTGGTTCACTTTTAACACTGGGTACACGGGGTGGATCTTCTCGATCCGCTGATGGCCCGTTCCAGGGTCGGAAAAACGAATTTTCACCTTCACACATGGTTTTTATCAATTCTATCTTTATGCACTTGAAAATGTAAATTTTCAATCGGTCAATTGATTTATTTTTATAAAAATAGTTGGCGTCGATTTAATGATTACTCTGATGAGGTATTACAGGTAATTCAGGTACGTTAGGTTGAATCGAGGGTACGAATAAGGTACGTTATTGAGGCACTGTGCTGGGTGCAGCTTGAAGTCTGCGGTTGTACTAGTGATCGGAGGGAGACTACAAGGGTGTTATATATACCGGTGTCTAAGGGTGAGTGCTGGTAGGGGCGGGTCCCCTCCTTCTGCTGGTTCTCATTGGGGCACACGAGGGTTGGGGGAGGGATGAAGGCTCTGCGGATGTTTTGGGGCCTGGGGGCGAGGTTGTCATGCAGAAACGGGCACGTGGGGTTTTTTCCTGTGGATGTGGCGTGAATTAATCGGCAACCGCCGAAAAACCGATCTGGGGTTTGGGGTGAATTTCGGGGGGCATACGTGCCCACGTGAAGGGGGATGTGGGGCTGATGGGAATCTTATTTGATTTGAATTTTTGTTATCGAGTCGAGATGGTTGGGTGATGAATAATTTCGAGGATTCATTATTCTAGTCAGGGGTAATTGTCTGGATTTGGGGGAAGTTCTTATTTTCTTCTACAAATTGCCAATTCTCTCTTTATCGATGCTGGGATACGATAAATCTTTTATTTGAACCGAATAAATTGTTTATAAACTGTTTAAATAAATAATTACTTGAATATGCTTTTAGGAATTAAGCAGCATTAATTTTAAAAAATGGAAATAAATTTTAAATTAATGGGGAATAGTAAAAAATTACTATTTTTTGTTTATAAAAAACTTTGGGAGTAATTTTCTCGATCTTCGATCCATGCTGTAACATGGAGAGAAATATTCAAGAATAATTACGGAACATTTCAGGTAATACCCATGCGAGAATGGCTTTCCGTGAATTTTTATGGAAATATGAGGAAAAAATCTCATGATTTTTCAGGAAAGTGTAAATTTTAACAGGAATTTCACAAATCATTATGTTCAAGAATTTTTATGTAATTTAACATTTCTCAAATGTTTTTGTGGATAATTGTTATTAGTCTTTTCTGTTTGGAACAAAGACAATTCTCGAAAAGTCCAAGTATCAATAGCCTGGAGTGGCTCGCAGGCAGTTTTGACATTCATCAGAATAAACTGTGAAAACGTACCCACACAGTAGTTTCCACATATTCACCGATACAGTATAACAACCTAGGGTGGAAGCAAGAGGAAACGACTAGACAGCCGGGAATTGTTCGATTTTGGCGGGTGAGTCGACCCAAGTGTTACGATAAATCAACGGGTGCCCGAGGGTGCCCCAGGACTCCACCCCCACATCAACCCCCGGCGTATACACGGGCACATGACACGGGGCTGTAGATCTATTCAAACCGCCATTGTACCACCAAAGTGCCTCACTTCACCGACGTCAAATTCTCAGCCTCAAAGAAACAATCATCAAATGTTGAATTATCGAGTTTAATTCGTTAAAATAATTAAATATTACGATTACAAAAACGAACGAACGTAAACGGCGTCGGAGATTCTATTTCATTCACTCTTGAAAATAATTATACCAAATTATTTGAACAAAGGTCTTCATCATCGGTTGAATTATCCCGCTCGTGAGAAGATTGAATGATTAAAAGCAATTTCCCATGATTTTCCTCATTTTCCTGATTTCAACCACTCACATCTGCCACATTAATACGAAGGACTAATTTTAAATGATGTCAAAAATTAATGTTTCAATTTCTAAAAATCTGTAATAGCTAAAAAATAAAATACGTGGAATTATTATTATTAATTGTCGAAGTATAATGAATAGCGTTGAATTGGGTGAAAAGAGTAGAAAAGAAGAAAGAAAGAAAGGAAGAAAGGATAGTTCTGAAAACTTGATAGATAAATTCTGAAAACTGCTTTCCCGACGAATCCCCGAGCCTTAAATTCTATTGCTGTCGCGTCAAGGGATTGTAATTCATTGACCATTCACTATTGACAGATACCAGTCTGAATGATGAAGGAAATGCGATCGCATATCCCGTTAATGAGGACTCGTGCCGGAGGGTTTAATAATCAGGGATTTTTGAAAATACCTGCCCAATGTCATTCCCCAGCACGTGCACGTCATAAAGTTTATGAAGATTATCGAAATCCTTTTCCCACAGGACCCGCAATAAAACCCTCTGCCTACCACTAAACAATGGTCTCTCTCCACTCAAATAAAAACAGACAGCCTTAGGATTAGCTACCTGCGGCCAATTGACAAGTGGGCCACTCCCTTTAATTACCCACCCATACAATTGGACATGATATTAACTCATAGCACGAGTTCCGAGAATGTTAAAAGCACCCTGGAGTCAAGGTGTTATATTATTCCCACCATTTTACTCTAGTTTTACCCATTCACGGTGTTCCATAAAGTGTCCATTATCTTTGACCTTCATTTCCGAGGACCCAAAGCAAACAATACGAGTGTCTACGGATTATGCCGAAGACGACTGGTTCGTCATTCCCCGATTCACTGGCGGCAAATTTCAATTAACTGACTCTGCAGGTTGTAACACGAAAACGACCGATACCTAGGGTTTTCAAGTGTCATTCATAGGAGAATTTTATTATTTTAACCGATCGGTCATCCGTCTTATTGCTGTCCTAGGAAAGTCACAATAGTCGTGGTAATCCCACGATTCTTTGAATTCGCATTTGTCCCGTGTTTGGTCTGATTTTTTTTCGTCGGACATTTTCAGTCCTTGGGAAAAATTTCTTGCGTCAACTTTGGGATGGCATGGGGATATCTTTTCTGAGGTGAAATATAAATATTGGGTTTGAATGGATTCATTCATGTTTCAGTTTGCCATTTTAAAATGTGAAGGTCTAATGATTTTTTTTTCATGATTTCGTACAGTTTATGATGAACAATAAAAAAAAATGGATCATTGGAAAATAACATGTGTTTGGAATGGCTTCGAATTAAGTCCTGGGGTTTTTTTTTAGTCACTTCCCTCTTCGCCTGTCCAATCCGATGATGAATCAGTCGGTGTCTCTGAATTATCCCCAATTTTACTAGTTAATTTTTTTAGTTTTTTCCAACTTGGATATTAATTTTTTATTCATTGCGAGCCGAGGGGAGAGAGTGCTCCGGCTGCTTTCACCGTGAATCCTAAATTTGTGGAATAGAGAAATGGCCTGTACGCCCTCGAAGGGCCACAAAAAAGGCACGTGTGTCATTGCGATGATCGATCGGAACAGATTACGGGGTTGATCTTGACAACCGGATGATCCATCTCGATTTTTGATGGTTAGAAGCTTTCTTCATGGAGTTGTGAGAGTTTTGACAAATTTGATTTCTAAAGTTCAACTCCAGAAGAATGAAGAAATACAAATATTACTCAATATTTACTCATATTTTTTTTTCTTAATTTTTTTTTCCCACAAATTGCATTCAATAATTCATTGAATTTTTAGTACAACTTTTAAACTTCAAATGGCAATTAAAAATTCCGTGATTCGCCCCAGAAGCCGTAATTTTATTGAATTACGAAGTTGAATAAAAAATGTAAGACCCAATTTATTTTTAATTGCATATTTGAACAATGATCACGTATTGAATGAATTTATTGAAATCGTAAAAAAAGAATTGAATTTTTCCGTGTGTAGAATTTTGGTGGTCTAGTCTAGTGTAAAACGGTCTGATTCCCCCTCCACAGCAGTTGTTACTACGGGGGGGTGAGGGCTGCCCTGGGATTGGATGTCCACGCCCTGGTGGGAAAGCCCTCGAATTGCACGGTCTTTCCCCCAGGCTCTTAAAAGTTGGTTGGGCACATCGAAGAGAGAAACGTATACATGACATTTCAACCCGGTGTTACCCTCCGAGGGCCTCTTTGGGGCGCGGGATCGAGCCCCATAAAAGCCTTAAAAGGCATTCTCACCCTGCTCCCCCTTTGGGCCTGGTGTCATCCTGCTGTGCATTTTTCAAATCCACCCTCCACCCTCCATCCTGGAACAACGAGTGCAACACGCACAGTCGACGCCCCTCCGATGGCGGGGCAAATTTTATTATGTCCCTTCCACACCAATGAATTTCAACTACTTTTTTGCCGTTTGAACAAAATACTATATTAACGAACTAACGTACTACACGAAAATATATAAATAATCATTTATCATGATTTATTAAATAATCTCAGTGATATCCCGCATGAAAAATAAATGATCCATTAATTATAACTGAGATATCCTGAGATAATTCATATATATTTCTGGGTATATTTATTTTTATGTGAGATATCTAGAAAAATGAAGGGAGAGGTTTGTTTTATAGGTGAGACATGGAATAACTGTTTTCATTTGCAATAATAGCTTGAGAATTTATTCTCAATGATCATTTCCATTTTGAGGTCAGATTTTCAGAAGGAGAACTTAATCACTTGATATTATCCCACCTCCTGATTTATTAACTTTATTATTGCCGTGATCATCCTGTCGCACATAAACATATTTTTGGAGGTTGATTAAATGTTGCACGGCACAGTTTTTCGACGCCTGGTTCACAAGGCTCCGCATCACAATCAGCAACACTTTCGCATTCTAAAATAACAATATAATAATTGAGTCGATTAATTAGAATAAGATATTCTCATTAAGCCGTGCGAAAAAGAAAAACAATTACAAGAATTTTTTCATAATACAAAGTCGCCGTAAAAAGAGTTACCGTATACTTTTCAGTTTTTTTAACAGTAAAATAGTGTATACTTACGTCTCACTTGGCCATCCTGCCCCTCGACCATCGAAATGTACGTAATGATCATTACACTGATCACCAAAATTCCAATAATAATTCGGGATGCCATTGCAATTGAAAGAATACCAGGATGCCGTTTGAAGATCAAGTTGCGATTATCGGGGTATTTATATCCGTGAAAAAACTGACATTGGTGTTAGGTAAATTATTATCCACGATAACTATACCTAACTTGGAAGCCCATGTCGTTCTTCAAGATAAGATAGAAACAATGGTGGATAATTGCTGGCGATGTCCGCTAACAGATATAAAAAACAAGGAATAATGCCAACAAAGTACCGTAAACTTGAGAAATTATATGAAAAAACGCATGGGCTCACTTGAAAATAACAAATACCCCACAGCCAAGAAATTTCTGCCAAAAGCCTGGACAAAATTTCACCTTCACCAAATCAAATGGTTCATGTGAGAAACCCCCATTTTATCGATCCATTATCCACACACCTCAGTTCCAAAAACTCGAGGATTTATAACCCACGGAGGATGGAATAAAAGCCACGCGCTCCTCGATACCATGAAAACGAAGAATCCTCATTCACTCATTCCTTCATTCATCGTGAGATACAATGAAGAAGGACCTGGCACCTGAGCATCATCACCGCACCAAAAGTCAAAATCAAAAGAAAGAAGGAAAATGAGAGAAAGGAAAGAAGAAGAAAAAAAATTCAATCTCCTCCCCTGACGAGGATTCGCCGTCACCTCACCCTCAGGTCCACCAAAATACCAAGACCTATATAACGTAGACCACAACACAGGCCTGACACAATGGTCCCTGCGTCTATTCTTTGCTTTCCCAATAAAAAAGTGAAAAATATGTTATATGGAATTATTTATTTTCCACCCTCTTACCTTGTGCTTTGCTATATCTCTCTTGATTGTTCTTCCGAGTGTGAAGATGTGACGTTAGAACGGAAAACGCGTGCGTACAAATAAAATGGTGAGGATATTTCATGTAGAATGTGGTAGCGGGCACGGGCCATCTGGCTTCATTCCACTGTCGGCTAGTCACATGATCATTCGCTTGGAAAAAAAATCTTCTTTGATTAATGGACAACGATGCGGTTGCATTGAATTCATACGCAGCTCAAGTCCACCCGGTGTTCACTACCAAAATATATCTGAGAGTCAAAGGAACCAGTCGTGTTGAGGGCTTGTAAAGATCATTTTTGTGGTGAAATTTGTGATGCCAGGTAACAAATACCAGCACTTTTGCATTCAACTCTTTGAATATTCAAGATTATAAAGAGAACGACTTGTATTATGAGCCCGGGACTGGTCAGTTTCTTTTTATCTTTCGCCGTTTCACCCTTTTTTCAGGTGGTAAATATCCTTTCAGCGGAATATCACTGGGGATTTCACGCTCATGACTGGCGAAAAATTTGCGGACTATTTTTGAAGCTCTTTCCATTTTTTAGTGAAAACCTCGGAAATAATTAGTTTCTTCTTCGTTACAGATCACAGATTTATTTGAATGGTTTCAAGGTGAAATATTATTTTCTAGCATCGCTCATTTTCGATATAATAAAGGCGAGGTAATTAATACCACTAATGAAGATTTCATTGTTGAGTAGACTCAATTCATCGTTCACTCCTCTGAATGAAGATTCATTTTGGCTTGCATGGAAACTTTTGGAAGGTAAATGGAAACAGATTGAGTGCTCTGGAAGCTCTAGGTGTATATCGTAACGAATCGGTATTAGTCACACATCTCCATTCCTCCCCAACTTCTCACCCGTACAATAATATCAACCAAGAGTGCTATATGATGACCGCGAGGCAGTTTAGCCCTGTTTGGTGTTTAGCAGAACCCTCCGAAAACCATAACAAATTTCCTCCCTTTTTTTTCATTCACCCCTGGTGGTCCCTCTCCAAGACATCCAGCATCTGCAACGCGTAACCGAGCGAGACTAAATACTTGAATTAAGGTTTTTAAGAAGTCATAGAAGGGATCAAAGAATAATTTGATAGAAGCATATCGTCGAGGGATTTGGGAAAAAGATTATTAGTGGAGTTGACCGTTTGGGCACAAAGAGAAATTCAATATGGAAGTCATTGAAGAAGAGATTAATTATTTCGTGCAATAACAATGATATTGAATTAAAAGAAAATTAACAGGTTTGTTAATGGAATCTGGGAACTTGTGTCAATATTACGATCGTAATTCTACATGGACTCTGAGAAATGTTCTTTCAGACTGAAAAACGACAAGTGGGAGTGTCAAGAGTCACTTCCAAGTATCAAGAGCACTTGAAGCTATTGAGACTCGGAAGAAGAATCAGAAAAAAAATGTATCGAACAAGTATCGGGGATAAAGGAGGCTGGATGAGAAGTCAAATGACAACAATGGGATCACGAGCCACGCCCTGGCACGCCAATCGAGTGGATTTTCCTAATACAAATGGTCACCAAAGAGGCATGAAACGTACCGCAGATTGAAAATTTCACATGTATTCGGCAAACCAGAGGGATACTCAAACGTTACTCCAGTAAATTTGACGTTAACTAAATAAACACATTTTCTCGGGGCTTACGGGATACTTTTGAAGTGGTGATGATGCTTGACGCCAATGCCCCGGGTGTCTTTTCATCTCATTGTCGTTGAGATGCTGTCGGCACCTTTTTTGTCAAAGCGACGGGATACATTTCTCTACTCTGCTCCCTTTTTATGTCGATTCTATGTGAGTCAATGCGAGTTTACCCCACATTCAACCATTTTTTTATCCTTATTTGGAAGGGAATAAAGACGGGTAAACCTAGAATCATGATTTTTTTTCTCTTCGGCACCTTACGTGGATAATGCAAACGTGAAAATCAAAGACACCGCTGGATAGTTTTGATTCGAGTTCAAAGGGGAAATTAAGGCATTTGAGCACTCGTTGTTGTAATGAAATTTGAACTTTTTCATGTTTTTCAAAATTCCCCGCTGTCCCCGGAATAATTCCGCTGTTGAACATTGCGTACTTTTTAATTTGGAAAATCTCAGGGTCATAAAAAATGGAGATGCGAAATGAATCATAACAAAATTATTATTTGTAATTGAATACAGTCGTAGGATCATAATTGAGAAGATTTTCAGTCGAACATAGCACAATTCTTAATTCCACAATATTAAATACCAATTTAATAATTACAAAAATGATGAAACGTCGAGTGAATAGATAATCAAAAAATGCACAAACCTTGAATAGTTTCAGATTTAAAATGGGAAAATTATGGTAGCGACGGCGAATAGAAAATTCATAATATACACTTATAAACACCATCTAGTATGGGATAAAGTATCAAAAGAAGTGGCATCGTAGTATTAAAATGACTGAATCATCCCGACTATATTGAAAAGAGTATCACTACTGCCAGAAATTCATACAAGATTACGAAAGAATAAAAATTGAATTCTGCTCTCGAACGATACGCCATTCATTCTCGAGATATTCCCATGATCGATGAAATACTATAGGCCATCGTGTTACGTTCTTGAATTTCAATGGACAATGATAACTATTAATTAATTATGGCTGGGATGCGTTTTCATGTGAGCTAGAAAGGTATGGCGATTGACAAATAATTTTTTACACACTGAGCATTGATGAGCACGTTGAAGGTGAGTGGTGAGATGTTGATTCCAGGATTCAGAGTCGTTGAATGTTTTTTTGCATATGGAGCAGACATTAGATTTTTTTTTCAACTTGTGAGACGAACAGGTGTGAGCTTCCGCGGCATCTGGAGTGTTGAAGGTCTGGCTGCAGATTACACATGTCAATTTGAGATTCTGTTGATCACTCAAGTGCATGTCTGAAATTTTCTCAGGAGAATTCTCGGTTGGTTTCGGAACACTCCCTTGATGGAGAGCCATGTGATTTCTGTACAGCAAATGTAACAGAGAAATTAATGGTGAGAAAATATAAGAAAAATCATTGAATATGAATGCCATGTCTTGAATTTTTTTTCAAAGAAACAATTACCTGTAAATGATTTCACTCTTGAGGCTTACAGCTGTATTACAAATTCCGCACTCAAAAATGAGTTTCTGAATGAGTCCTTTGACCTGTTCAGAGTCAGGTTTCCACCCCACATCGAGTATCTCCCAATGGCTCTCTTTGAGATGAATCTTGAGATTCCTTGTGCAGTCGTAACTCTTCATGCATAAATGGCACTTATAAATAAACAATGGATCGTTATTCTCATGCAGATTCTCGTGAGTATCACAAGCTGTCTGCGACACAAAAGGTGCATCACAAAATTGACAAATGAAATGCTTCTCTTTATGATGATCAAAGAGTGCCACAATATGCTCCAGATGCTCCTCACACACTGGACACTGATTTTTTATTTTACCGTCTGATTGGCTCTCACTGCTCTCTGGCTCAATCCTCACAGGTTTCGAAATTGTTTTTATCGCTATATTTCCCGGGGAATAATCACCACATTGTTTATCAAAAGTTTCCATAATCTTTGCCATCTTTTCGCGTCTGCTGGCAGCCAGAAGCGCCGGTTTTCTACATTTTGGTCCAGGTTTGGCTCTAATCTTATCAATCTGTATCATAAGCTTGTAAACCTTTCCCTTAAACTCCAATTGCTTAGCAAATATACTGGTACCATTTTGCTTTGAGGGAGAGACTTTACCATTGATATTAATTTGTTTTGAAACCTGAAAAAACCGTCAGAAATATTATCGTCACAATGAACAATAAGACATTTTATACTATTCACTTGTAGATATCTTGATGTAGATTTACCTCAGCAGTTCCTCCAAGTGGTGTCATATTTATTAACGATTTATTTCAATAAAAGTAGCGTTGCTTTCATATTTAACCTATGAAATTTATTGATACTCAGTAATTTGTGATGCTTTTGGCTGGTTTTATGCTTCGACAAGGAGCGACCACAATGTGCTTGTTGACAGACGACAAAAATGTGAACTGTTGGAGGCAAATTCCATCGGTCATCTCGATTTTACAGGGCCCTGTTTAGCCATCCATGTGGATATATTGCAATATATATATGTAGGTATATAGATGTGTATAAGTGTTTCTCCTATGGAATTCCTCGCAGTAGGAGAGATATTGTTTTTTCGATGCATGTATCTTATGTTCTTCCCAGTGCTCGTTTGAATTTCATTGAGTTTTTATTGATTGGAGCAGTATGTAAAAAGTTATTAATCATAAGTCATTAGTTGCCGTGAGTGTCAATGGATTAATTCATTTATTGAAAGGATTCGTCGAGAAATAACTCAGTTATATTTGTCACTGCGCTACATTCTGCTGGCGATTATTTTGGAGGTTATACATTGATTTTTTTTCATTATTGCTAATAATAAACTTCAACGTTTGACATTATTAACATATTAGTGACGTATTTGGGATCAATGTTAATGATCGAGGATTAAGAATAGTTCGATTTGATTCAGAGATTATTTTGGGGTTTTGAAGGCTTTTATTTTCTGAACAAAGGGAATATTATCCTTGGGGTAAAAATCTTGCCAATTTTATTGGCATTTCCTTTGTATCTGAATGCACTATTTATAAAATATCCATTTATGGAATCTTTGAATCACCAGAATGGAACATTGTGTCTGTTAAGCTGTTGGTTCGGAAAAATAATCATTCAAATAAATTAGTCATTACGTGAATACGAAATACGCAAGCTGTTTTGATTTTTTTTTTATTGAAAACGCAGTCAAGTCAACCTTCCACAGCTTAGTTTATCCATTTCCAAAAAAAAAAGAAATGGACTGTCGAATTTATTTTCCTTTCTTCTCTTGTTTAATGGCGCAACCATTAAATTAGGATTGTAACTTTTGAAAGAATTGCGCTGTCACCAGTCTGCACCAGCCTGTCAAAGACTGTCATGTGGATAATTAACAACCCTCAACAATCGAACGCCATGGATCAACTTTTCGACGACATAATCAAGGAGTGCACTTACGCAGTTCCAGGTGGACGTCTATCCTACGCTGTTAGAAATAAATTGGAGAAACACAAAAAATCAGTTCGACGAGAGATAGTGAGTCGCATAAAAGACGATTGTGCACCTCTCTTCATAGCTTGCAAAAGAGGTCACGTTGAAATAGTAGAATACCTCATCACGGTATGTGATGCTGACATTGAGCAGCGGGGTCTGTACGAGGTGCCTGACGACAGATCAGTTCACTGTGTCACACCACTTTGGTGTGCAGCAGTTGCTGGAAAATTGCCTGTGATAAAGTGTTTGATTTCACACGGTGCCGAGGTGAATGCAGTCTCTGACACTGGCTCAACACCAGTAAGATCCGCCTGCTTCATGACATATCTAGAAATTGTTGAATATCTCGTTGAGCACGGAGCTGACATTCTGCGTGCTAATTACAATGGGGGTACATGCTTGATAAATTCAGTACAGAGTGTCGAATTGTGTACATATTTGTTGAGACACGGTGCTGATGTCAATGCAAGGGACATCCAAAATAAGACTGCCTTACATTATGCAATTCAGGAGCATAGATTTGAAACGACTAAACTATTTCTAGAGCACAATGCAGATCCACATTCGAAATCGAGGTACAATGACGACGCCCTGCAGACTGCATGTCTCAAGGGAGCAATACAGATTTTTGATTATCTCGTGGAGAATGTCTCATATTCACCGGAACGACTGGCCAATGCCAATGAATTAATGGGCTCGACATTCTTCGATGAACATGGAGATATTGCAGCGGCATTAATCTACTGGAGAAAGGCTATGGATATCAGGATGGAAAATATGGAAGAAGGGCAGGTCCTTCAGAAGAGACCTGTTATGCCAAAGAGGGAAAGTTTCAGGAATGCTGTCGAGTTCTCGACACTTGATGAGCTCAACTCAATTGCTTTCGATCTCGATGCCATTAGAATACAGAGCTTGCTTATTTGTGAGAGGATACTAGGGGAAAATCATAAGGATACACTTTATAGACTGATGTACCGAGGTGCCAGTTATGCTGATGCACTGAGGTACCAAAATTGCATCGATTTGTGGAAGAGAACTCTAGAAATTAGGGTGGAAAGGGATTCTGTAAGTTAATTCGTTGAATTCTAGTAGACAATTGGCAATTGAGAATGCGGAGTAATTTGCAATTGATACATGAATACATGAATTTGTGTGTATGTTTGTTCTCCAGATTTTATATACAGATACATGTTTCACTGCTCAAGCTATTGTTAAAATAATGGTGGATTTGAACGAAGCGACGACAGATCGAATTCGTGATAAGGACGAGCCAAGATTCTGTGATGTGGTTGCGGTATTTAAATTGCTCACAAGCCAGCTGTGCGAAGCTCGAGAAATACTCGAGGTAATTTTCCACGAAAGAAGGACAAATAAATAAAAACAGTAAATTTCATAATTTCGTTTTTTTATGTACTCTCCTCAGAAGCGTCCAGTGTACAAACGCCATCAGGATAGTTACGATCATATCTTGAAGTGCGTGACACATTTGATTTATCTCTTGGTAGAAACTGCTCAGACTAAGGGCCAAAAGACTGAGGCTCATCAACTCGTTCGCGAGTTAGTCCGGAGAAATCCCAGATCAGCGTCAACAGGAGATAGTCTGCTACATCTTTGTGTTTCCAGTTTGAACTCTATTACTTCTAGTTATTTCACTTCTGATGAAAAAATGGTTTGTATTTCTGTCTAATCTATTATTAGTATGTTTCGCATTATTTTTGTTAGATCTCCATCAATGGCTGAAGTTTTCGAAAAATCATTGGAAAAAATTATTTCAGGTTGTCTTCCCCCATACAGACGTCGTTAAATTACTCCTTGATTGTGGTGCTCACGTGAATGCTAGGAATGAATCACGTTCAACTCCACTTCACATCGCAAGCAATGCTTACAACTTTCTTAATCCAGTGAGTAATGAATCGGGATTATCTCCCGGATATTATTAGAAATATTGACGTACTGTTTTGGATTTTTACAGTTGATAAAACTACTCCTCGATTACGGAGCACACCTCGACATTCCCAATCGAGTTGGCGACACTCCAGCAAAGATAATATCCTCAAACCCCCACAACAATATAAATCTCGTCAACTACATGACTTTAAGGTGCTACGCAGCTCAGGCAATATTCAAATACGGAATTCATTGCACTGAGCTGCCTGTAACGCTGCGCCAATTTCTCGAATACCACAGACCACATTGTATCAACATGTAAATGATACAATAACTTTTCAAATTAAGTATTCTTGAAGTTTATCACTTATTTGACGGTATGACCCGCAAAGGATTGATGAAATTAATTCTTTCCGAGTTATCATTGTCAAATTTTACAGAAGAATTATTAAACTATCAAAGAAATTATTACTAACTTTAGAATTAACACAAGGCGATATAAGTATTGGATGACTTGGTCCATAAATTGGAATGTTGAGTCCTATTTTTTTTCAGTCGTGTTCGGCAAAATAGAAAATTATGACTTTTCGATAACTATTCACGTACGTTATTAAAATATTAGCTTTATTAAAACTAATGTCGCCATAGAATGATCGAGGCCTGAGAATATCGTTTGAGAAAAGTCACGGCCTTTCACTTCTACCGATTCTCACTATTTCATAAAAAATAAATGCAAACACGGAATTTTGCTTCAGTGAATATTGTAATTTGAGTCCTCGTTATTCTCACGATTAATTTGATTGCAAACAAAAACAATGTACTTTAATCATACCTTCAATTCCTATCTATAAAAGATGATACACCAAAATTAAGTTGTCGAGAGTAAGATTTCGGCGACCTCCATGCGTAAGACTTTTCACGCGTAATCCTGTGTCCCATTGGCCATTCCGAACAAAACACTTTTCATATCGGTCAATTGGCTATGTCATCACCAATACAACGCAGTCGAATGCCAGGGGCGGATCGCGCGTTCGATCTCGTACATTTAATGAATCGCATAGATCTCAACACGTCAACGTGATAAGTACATCACATAGAAATAAGTTTATAAATGTTCTGTTTTTTTTTGGAAATTATTATATGTAAATTACGTAACAGCAAAATAAGAGAACTTAACTGAGCACTGCGTCCTTCAATCATTTTTATCAACCAATGTGATATTGATAAAAGTACTCAATGTGAATACTCAATAACGTAAACATAGTGGTGCTCGATATTTATTTCTTTTTGATTCATATTCACGGTACAAAAAGGTAATAAATATATCTATGAAGATAAGAAATCGTATTTTTCATTTACTAGTCATTCTTTTCTCGTTAGTAAAAAAATAGATTAATAAAAATAAATCGATATACAATCATTGGATAATATAATTGAATAGAGAGCTAATATTTATTTTATTATTCAAATCTGAACCCCCGCGATAGCAGTTCTGGAAGATCAAGGATTAGTCCTTTCAAATCTTAAATATACACGTCTATTCATCAGTCTTGTCATTTTATGTTTATTCTTCCTTCTATATAACACGAAAAAATAAAAAGATGACGACTGTTGTCAGAAAACTAGTGGTTATTGTCAAGGCACCTTTGGAACTAACTCTCATGTATTCGTCCACTACATGAATTTTCCAACCCATGTTGGCATGGGTGAATGAATTATACCAGACAGTGTCTGGCCAGCTGGAATTTGGAGTCACTTCTAATAATCCACCTTCTCCTGAAATTCAAATAAAATATTTTGACGATTCAACGAATATTTTTAAATAGCGCAAACATATTAATTTGGTCTTAATTACCTTCTTCGCAAGTGTAAACAAGAGTTCGATTGAACTTCTTGAACGTGAGAAAATCATCATCAAGTCTCCTATCGCGACCCTCATGTTTGCTCAGACAAAGGGGCCCAACAGCTGTGGGTCTGGGCCTACCTCGCCTGGTGAACTCAACACCAGCCAGGACTCTCACTTGATTTTGCGCCCTATCGCTGAGCCTGTCATACCCTCCATGAGGTTCATCAGTAATAATCAAGGGATGATACAGATTTGCGCTGTGGGGATTATTGCCACCATGAACTCGAAAACTGTAAGTCAATCCTCGTCGGAGATATAACTCCGGGATGAGTTGTCCATTGATATACCAGGCTAGTCCCATGGAGGTTTGTCCAGTGATACCCTGGTATCCTCGTTTACCACCAGAAGGTCCTATTGTCGCCTTGAAAGTTCTGATGCTCCTGTCGAAGATGTCCGACTTCTCCCAGATCTCACGGAATTTTCGGCTGGACATTGTAAAATCGGTGCAGGTACTGTGAGGCTCTTGACGATTCAACTCCAGTTTAAGATCGGATTTAGGGTAGAAGTCATGAAAATTCGGCTCCTTGTTCTCGTCGAGACGACCCAACGCCCAAATCACGTAAACTGGACGATCGGTTGGGTATACTTTATCTCCAGAGTCAGCTGTGAAGTATAATTTTGGAAATTTATTCCACAAATATTGAGCAGCAATTAAAAATAATTACAAAAATAATAAAATTTCACTCACACGAAATGAGGGTTCTCCTATAACTGATGATAGAAATTCCATTCTCTCTGACAGTTGTATACATCTGATTGCTGTCCAGTCCACCGACTAATTCGTCTTTACACACCCCTTTATATTGTCCAAGGGTTTTTCCGCACTGAAAAAAAAATTTCGGTGAATTTATTCCGGAGGAATTCAATGAACATTTAAATATGCTCACTGGTGCCTTCGCTGTAATATTGTAATCAACAGCATATCCTCTGGCTCCATCCACATACGCCACTGTAACATCCGCTCCTTCCATCTGACTCCTCTCCTCAGATCCAGAAAGACCAAATGCCATGTACTCATCCTCTTTGATCTGCCCACTCAATTGGATGGTAATCTGTGGTCCAAATATCTCCCAGCTGACTTGATAATTCTTGTGGAGTTGTACGCAATTCGGGAGAGCCTCCACGTGTTTAACGACCTGAAGAATCATTGATATCAGATTCTCAAGATTTAAAAGAAAAAGAGTGGAGAATTTTATCTCGGTTTCTACCTCGGAGATTTAATTAATACCTTGACTAGTGATGGCGGGACATTCAGGCCTTCCGGTATAACTACCGAACCATAATTGCTCTTCGTCGCAACATCAAAAATACTCAGCCAATTGATATTTCGTATTGTCATCTCGCCTGGAAGCTGAATGACAATGTCTTCGCCTTTGTAGTGTCTCAGGGGATCCAGACTGATGGAATTGGAAGGAAAAGGAAATTAAAAGTCAAATTTCCCAGAGGCAAATATTCCATGTAATTAATTTTGATATTTAACATGCGAGGACTGATTTTTCCCCATTTAAACTTACTATCCATATTCATCTGGAACTTTTGATCCAGTGGTGGACGGTTGAGGACCAACACCAACCCAGAAATAAGTGTCATTGCCTAATCCATCGTAATAAAACGCTGGAATACTTATAGTTTTTGCATCTAGAATTATTATGGCCTCTGAAGTGACTCCGTGAGATCTTTTTGATAGCTGAGATATTCGTTGAGGGGATGGTGGATCGAATTCATCGGGAATATTAACATCTCCAAACGTATTCTATATAAAAAAAAAATTCTTTCCCTTATCCACTCAACCGTTAGATCGAATAAAAATTAATCATATGATTTCTACAAGTGAATTGTGATTGTCTGCTGAATCAACTGCATTCACGAATTCAAGATTACGATTTTCAACGATTACCTGATTCGATAGATCATAAATAGCAAACCACTTGATGTCCGTTATTTTTTTGTTGTCTGGTAACGTGAGTGTAAAATCCTTATTAAGATATCGGTCAAGGACGTTAGTCCTGCAATGGAGGAATTATTTATCGATAAATCATAGGTAATAGTGATTTATGTTCGGATTATGAATCGAGCTGACTCACTTGCCGAACTCATCCGGGACGATGAAACCCTGTGGACCCGGATGATTGGTGGCACCAGCCCAGAAAAATGTGTCTGCACCTGTACCATCGTAACTGAAGGATGTTAATAATAATGTGTACTCGTCTACAGCATAGACGTCACCAGCAATTTGATGATGATATGTATTCAGTTTCCCTATATATTTGCCGTTGTACTCTTCATCTGTATCCTGGGTAGAACCTATATAATATACGATTTTCGTAATATGATATTGAAAATTGAAATGGTTCGAGCGATACTGCCAAAAATTGAAAATAACACGATGGAAAGTTCAATGCGTGGCCGAGAGATACGAGATACGAGAATTTGAATAAAATCTTGATTAAAAAAAATTTAATGATTTCAATTAACACAATTATCGCCTGCCCCAGAACCTGAACCATCCGAGTAATTTCTGAACATTTACGTTGATCATTTTTTTTTAATGTCGCGCACTGTAATTACACATGGACTTACCACCTTGTGAAAGGATCGCAACAAAGAAGAAAACGCAGGAAATTCGTGCTGTCAACATTTCAACGAAATTTTTAATTAATGTTTTTTTACCCTTCCGTTTACATTTTTTAAACACAAAATTTGAGAAAAATTCACTGGAGATTGTGGAATAGAAATAATTGGGAACAACTGTTTGGGATCGATGTTTTAGTGGACTTGACAGTGGTCTTGAAACAGGACTAAGATAGCGGTATAGTGCGCGTGGGATATGGAAAGCGCTGGGCCTCAAATGGGCCTCAACGTGGAGAGAATGATGAAGTGAAAGTATTACGTTTTATTGCAGCTCGACTTCAGGTTTCTTGAGATTTCTAGGATCTTGAATTTCCAGTAGTGGTAACAATGAATGGTTTTTTATTAAAAAAAAATTGTACATAGAGTTTACCATTTGGTTTGAAGATTAACATATGCTTGCACCTGATTTTGCTGTCTGTAGACCCCCGGACCGAATGGCATTTACAGCAAAACTCGATCAAAGACGTTTAACATCATTTTCTTAATATTCCATTCGATTCTTTCTTTTTTTACGCACATTTCTTGGAAATTTGAAAAAAAAATCGGACGTACGCGGGGGGTAACGGATCGATTTGATGATGATCATGATAAATAATGCAAATTTCCGTGAATACCTCCTCGATTTTCATGTTGCCCTGATACTTTTTCAAAAATTTCGAATTTTCACATTTCAGTGAATACCTCCTCCATTTTCATGCTCCCCTGATACTTTTTTTTAAATTTCAAATTTTTCAATTTCAGTGAATACCTCCTCAATTGTCATGCTCTCCTGATATTTTTTCAAAAATTTTGAATTTTCTAAGTTCCGTGAATACCTCCTCGATTTTTATGCTCTCCTGATACTTTTCCAAAAATTTTGAATTTTCAAACTTCAGTGAACACCTCCACCAATCCTCTTTCGTCAGATCCTTCAGTAAAAAATTGATTGGAATGTGTCATGGCGGAGAGCATGTAAAAAGTGTCATGGACGGCGCTAGTGTATAGTTAATTTTTAATCTGTCAATATGGCTTCGAAAGAGAATAATCTTTCAAGTTTATACGCCGAATTAAATAAATTCGGACGTAACGGTGAATATGAGAGAGCATTGAAAGTTGCTAATAGAAGTGAGTAATTTTGGTCATAATTAAATCAATGTTCCCGTTATTTATAAAGTAATATGGAAGGGAAAAGTTGACAATATGGAATACCTAACCACGTTTCAGAATCCTCCATTAATCATACAGGGACAGTGGAGTAGCTGTATTTATTATCATATTATTAACATTAAAAAAATCTTTCTTTCATAGTTCTGGGAATTTCCCAAGATGAAGAGGCAGCCATTCACTGCAAAATTATTTCCTTCATACAATTATCCAAGTTCAACGATGCACTGCAGGTCATTGCAAAAAATCCAAAAATATCTGTGTGAGTATTTAAATCATCCCGTGAAAAATAATATCTTCGCGAAAAAACGCAACTCATGAGATTGACGTTTCCACCGCAATGAGTGATTTCCGAATTTTATTTTAAGTATTAATTTGTTGTCAATCTCATTAAATTATAATTATTTTTTATAAACTAACAAATAATTAATTTCCTTCCCCAGCAATTTGGATTTCGAAAAGGCCTACTGTCTCTATCGCCTGAATCAAGTATCCGAAGCTTTGAAAGTTGTTTCAAGTATTCAAAATCTATCTTTAAAAACCAAGGAGCTCAAGGCTCAGATTCTCTATCGACTTGAAAAGTATGAGGATTGCTTTTCCGTGTATCGAGATATAATTAAGAACTCCAGTGATGATTATGAGGATGAGAGGGAGACCAATTTGGCAGCAGTATTGGTTCATCTCACTGCGGAAGGCTCAGTCAGTTATTTCCCATATTAATCAAGACGTCAAAAGTCATCAACAGTAATATCACTACTCAATTTTATTATTATAATGCCAACAGAGTATGGACATCCCACAGCTTCGAGACCACACTTACGAGCTCACTTATAATGCAGCATGCCGTTTAGTGGCCGAGGGAGCCCAAGGGGACCGTCCCAACCTGATTGAAGCCGAAAAGAAGCTGCGTCTAGCCGAAAAGATATGCAAGGAAGCCTTAGAAGATGACGGCGCCACCGAAAAAGAGATCTTAGATGAGCTCGGAATAATTAGAGTACAATTGGGTTACTGCCTCCAGCTCCAGGGACGTGAAAAAGAAGCGCAAGCCCTTTACTCCAACGCCCTAAAAGCCAAACCCGATGATATAGCTCTTGTGGCAGTCGCCAGCAATAACTTGGTGACCCTCAACAAAGATCAAAATGTCTTCGACAGTAAAAAACGAATGAAATCGGCGACCCATGATGGTCTGGAGCACAAACTGACATCTCGCCAGCGTTGTAGCATCGCTTACAATCAATGCCTTCTCGCTCTTTATACAAACCAAGGAGACCACTGCCAACAGCTCTGCAAGAAACTCATCAAGGACCACCCTGAGATGTCAGCTGAGGCCACATTTGTTCGAGCAGTTCAACTGAGTAAAGAGGGAAAACCAAAAGAAGCGGTGAAAATTCTCCTGGAAGAGTCCGGTGATAAAGACCTGCCGATGAAACTAGCATGTGTTCAGTTACTTCTGTCCCATGGAGAACGGAAAGAAGCTATAGGAATATTGGAGAACCTCAATCCCAATGACAAAGCCCTTCCAGGTATTGTGAGTGCCCTCGTGACACTTTACATGGCGGAAAATAATCGAGAGAAGGCTTCGGCAGCTCTAAAAGAAACCGTTAACTATTACAAGATGAATAAAGAGGGGACTGGAAATCTTGGAATGCTCTGGAGACAAGCAGCGGACTTCCACCTCCGTGGAGGTGAGGTCCAAATAGCCGCGGCGAGTCTCGAGTCTCTGCTGGAAGCCTCTCCATCCGACACAAAGACTCTGGCACAATTGGTAGTGGCTTATGCTCAATTCTCTCCAGCGAAGGCTCAAGCTCTATCGAAACAATTGCCTCCACTTGATCATCTTGCTGAGGCAATCGATGTGGATGCATTAGAGACGAGTAACTGGGTCATTGGGACAAAAGTGGTGAAGAGGAAACTGGAGCCATCCCCTGGGAAAACAGGAACTGGGACTGGTGGAGAGATGGAGGGAAAGAAGAAAAAAAGAAAACGTAAGGGAAAATTACCTAAAAATTACGACGCCAGTAGTGCTCCTGATCCTGAGAGATGGTTACCTAGACATGAGAGAAGTGGATTCAGGAAGAAGAGGGACAGACGGAATAGGGATGCCACGATGAAGGGCACACAGGGTGCGGCTGCTGGGGGCAGTGATCTTTATGATATTACAAAGATGCCAGGTAATGCTAAACCTTCACCGAATCCCCGGCAAAGTCCAGCTGTGGAAAGCTCTGGCCCCAGACAGCAGCAGAGGAAGGTCCAGCAGAAGAAGAAGAAGAAGGGGGGAAAATGGTAAAAAAATTGTTGTTCGTGATTTTAAGAAGAAATGTAAGTTTTTTGTTGAGTAAAGTGTCAAGAATATATTTTCAATTCATCGTTTCCAAGATGAATTGATAATTAAGAAAACTTTGAAGTCTAACTTGAATTGTTCTCTTTCTTATCACTTTGATTATAAAACTATTGCATCATTCTGTCGATATATTTGTACATTGCATTTACGAATTTTCTGAGAGATTTTGTTAATACAGTAATGAAGTAGAAATAAATTGAGATGAATCTGCAGTACGTAAAATATTTTTATTACTCCATAAACTTTCCGTCCATTTTCCACTGTCGTTATGTTTTTAACGCTCATTATAACATTTTTTTGTTTCATCTTATCGTGACTAGGTACTGGCAAATATATATTTTATGTTCCATTGGAAAATCATTTAGTTTTAAAAATTCTCTGAGTAACAGTGTTTATTTTAGAAAAATATAATGGGCATTTGGTTTTTGCGATTTAACGAAAGAAAGAAATGATTTATGATTGTGCGTCACGATTTAAAAAATTTACATAGAACCGGAATATTCAGAAGTTCAAAATTACACGGGATTCTGAAATTCTCAATCTGGTCAATGAGTGATGAGTTTATACAGTTAGAATTTCTTGGTCGTTATAAAAATTAACGTGACATCGTTGTATATTTCATTTTGTTTTCAACAAGAGATTAATTATCCATTTTAATCAATCCTTTCACTTCGTACAGGTTTATTGTCGTGATAATGAAATGAAGGCAGTTTTTGTTGAACATAAATAGTTAATCGATAACATTCAATTGCATCGCCCGATTTAACAATATTTACGATTCTTAGGCGTTCCATTTAAACTCTGCAGGTACAACTAACTATTTTGGGCAATTAGTTTTCCCCCAAGCCACGATTTCCATTATTGTACGCAGTGACACGTACGAAGGGGAGAATTCAGGGTTTTTACTTAAGGAAAAACATCTGAGTAATTTAGACAGATAACGGTGAACAACAACATTAAAACTCGTTGTCTCATGCCACACTCATCTACTTTGATAAAAAAGAAAAGCCACCCCTGCGCAAGAAAGAAAAAAGAAAGGCATTCTTTGAGCGGTCCGTTCGATATTTTTTTGTTATCGATAAAGAGGATTAGATGAGTAAGGCACAATTCCACGATATCTAGGTTCATTCGAATCCTTAAAATTAATTGTTAGTCATCATTTTGGCGTTATTATGCCTTCCCAGGCATCGTCACACTGTTTTTTCGCAAGTCTCCTTTTTTCTGAGAAGAAAAATAAAACGAAATTTATTATTGAACAATTATTAAATGCTTTTTGATAGTTCGATTTTCAATGATTATTTCACCTTTAGCTTCGCGTAAGACAACTTTTTCATGTTCCCTCTCCTGCCTGGCAGTGGCCAATCTCACCCCAAGTGCACCAGTAACCAAACGTCTCGCCAAGGCTGCACAAGTTTCAGGTCTGCTTCTATAAGGCTGCATGAACTCCGCACTTTTTCTCGCCTTGGTCCTACTAAGTGCTGTCGCCTCGCTCAGAGGTCGAGTTTTTACGAAAGGGTGATCCGACGCCAGAACTTCAGCAGCTACCATAAAATCAATCATCTTTATTGAGCGTGTAAAAATTTCCGTATACATAATTTCTATATCTCGCTATCACGTTTCATTAAACACGTTGAGGTATTATATGAACACGTGGACGTAATATGCAGATTAATTGCATAATGGCTTTTACATACTAGACTAGAAAGTGGAACCAGATTATATTTTTTATTGGCACTAGCGGCTCTGACGCGCTACGCGTGCTTATCTTACACTTATGGGTGTTATCTTTTGATATAAAAAAAATGTTTCAATAATTTATTTGTACAAGCGTATTGGCTTCATTTCATGGGCATTCAAACGATATATAGCATGCCGAATGTAATGCCTAATCGATATTTGAAGCATCGATTAATCCGATTCCAGGTCAAAATACTGAACATCCGCATTAATTTCGTTATCTTAATTAATGTGCGACACTGTGGAGCAATAATCGTCATAAAATCTCAATTCACGCTTAATAACGTATTCTCAATTGATTTATTGCAAACACACGTGTTTGAGAAATTGGACAAGTATTCAGGAGACTGATCTATAAAAGTTATCGGTAATAATCCCTTTCAGTCAGTTTTAACTTAATATCACTCGAACCATTATACAGATGCGAAAATGGTAATTTTTTCCGCTGCCTGCATCGTTCTGGTACTCCACACGATCATCGAGGGTAAATTATATCAATTAACAGTAGAAACAAATTGGAACCATCCCCTATCAATAAATATTAATTATAGACGTTAGTGCAAGGGCGCCAACAAAAATAATTGGTGGTACTGACACAACGATTGAAGAATTCCCATCAATCGTCTCAATTAGAGACGAAGCAGGGGACCATATTTGCGGTGGAACACTGATCAGTAATAAGCATGTGATGACCGCAGCTCATTGCCTCGTTACAATGGAGAAAAAACGTCACAAAGTAACAAAATTTGTCAATAAGGTCACCGTGTGCGTCGGTGGTTGTCGTAAAAATTTGGAAGAACCACGGGAAGTCAAGCGAACAGATATCCACGAACTGTTCGATGGTGATTATTCTGAGACATCGTACATATTGCATGACATAGGAATCATTACGGTAAACTGATCACTAATCAACTGAAAATAATCGAGATGAAGAAGTAAATTGCTGAATAAAAAATACTCGTGAAAAATTATTAATTCTTTCAGTTGAAAGAAGCCATAGAAGAAAGTCCCACTCGAAGACCTATTGCATTACCATCTGAAAACACACCAATTGGTGAGACTGGTTACGTGGCTGGCTGGGGATCGGTGGACAAGTCTTTGATTGAAATTCCCCTAACATTACAAAAAGCCCGAATGAACATAATAGCATGCAAGATTATCCCGGGAACGATGAAAATTCCGGACACTGAAATATGCGCCTTCAATCGCAAAGATATTGGATTCTGTGTGGTGGGTTACTTGAATTACTAATTCAATTTTTCACCATGCTATTTCTATAATTATCTGTCAATTTTTCATTTAGTACGATAGCGGTAGTCCACTCATAGTAAATAATGAAGTCGTTGGAATTGCTTCATGGAAATGGACACCGTCTTGTGCTGAGGGTTATCCCGATGTCTATACAAGAGTCGAAAGCTATGTCGAATGGATTCGTAATATTATCAGTCCTCATCAGCCCATCAAAGAGGATGAGCTCCGATAAAACATACCGATGATAATGAAGTGAATAATCGATCGGTTATTTTTTTCATCTTTTGCAATCTGAACAGTTGATAAAATTCAATAACGAGATAAAATGGACTCACCGACAAGTGGACTACTGAACACTCCGAGGCAGTGGGTGTCATCAACCCATCTAAGCTCAAACCCTCCATTCTTAAAAGTGCTGAACACAGCTGCAAGATCACTAGTTTTAAAATCCGAGGGAAAGTTGTAGATCTCAACTACATGAGCGAATTCATCGCTCGATACCTCGACAGGCCTGCTGAATGCTTTGTAATCGTTTTTTGGTTGCTCTATTGTCACTTCTCCAACAGCCGCCGTTAACTGAGCACCAAAGAAAATTTTCCAATTTACCTCTGTTAAAAATAATAAGAATTCTACAGAAAGAATAAATAATTCACCTCTTCAATCAACGTTGGATCCAAACACTCTCCATTGTCATCAAACAAACTATCCCAGTCGCATTCATCTCGATTAACCTTGACCGGTGGTGATGGAGGTGATGCAGGTTTACTCTTCGCCCTTGCCATCTTCTTCAATTTCTTTTCCGGCGGGCGAACAGTTGCTACGTCCGCCTGAATTATTTTCCGGGACGGCGAACTCTCACTACCCGATATTATCAATACGTCAGGCACTAAATTACGTGTTAAGCTTGTTTCCTCACTGTTATTAATCAATTTGTCGTTATTTTTCACTTCCGGAATAGTTTTCAATTTCACGTCAATGTTCGATGTGTCACTTGCCACTTCCGGTTCGAAATATCCGTGGTTTTCATCGCGGAATTTATCTTGTTCGAGATGTCGAATTTTTTCAGTGCTAAATTCTTCGTGATTGTTCATTGGCAGTTCTGGAGGCCGAGGTGGCAATTCCTGACGTAAACATTCGTCCATTGATAACTCATCAGATAATTTCGAACTTTTTGATAGTGTATTCGGTTTTATTTGGGGAGATTCGAGGGAACTCACAACATTTGGATTTTTAATACTTCGACGCTCGTTTTTCGGTTTCGGAGGAATCACCTCCTCTTGAAGTTGATGACTCCCTTCAGCTTCTGCACTTCGACGATGTTTTGGCACGTACACCGCACGATCTGGCCTTTTTTGTCTTGCTCTGGATGCAAGTAATGGAATATATTTTTTTATTAGGACAATTTCTGGGCTGTAATATGTTACTATAATTTATTTGAAACACACTCCAATTTATTCAGCACTTTCTTACCTCGAAAATGTGAGAGAATACGGACAGACGAGTGGTGTTTCATGAAAAATCAATTTCTATGCATTTTACAAACTTTCTATACATACTTGAGAGTAGTGGATTCCGGAGTCGTGCTCACACTCGGTGATGTGCCGTTTTGAGCCCGTCGTGCTGCCGGTGGACGATATATCTCGACAGCAGGTGTGGATTTCACTGGAAATTAAACTTGGCTTTGGTATCAATGACCTTGGAAGATGGAGTCGTTAGTGAACCGGTAAAGCGTGAAATGTCAATTTACGCATCTCGCTGACCGTTCATTTCCCTTGAGGTTTCTCACAACTTGTTCTACTGTTTTACAATTGATTTGAAATATTACCTTGTCGTTGCCGGGAATTGTCAGGTGAGGCTGATGGAGAGCGTCTGTCCTCGACTCCCATCTTTGATGAAGAGTCACTGCCTCTCGGCGATACCACACCATTCAATTTTTGATCTCTGCATCAACAAACAAAATATACTAATGGTTGATTCTCCAATGAGAGTCGACAACAACTGGGATTCACTTAACTGTATTTCCATCATCATGCAATGACCGGGGGTTCATTGAGCCGAGATCGCTCGGGGTTTTCTCGACTAAAGTCAAAAAATAGGTGCACAGGGGAGAAACACTATGGCATGACTAAAAATATACTCTTGGCAAAGTATCACTAACATTGTGGCTGCACAAACACAAAACAGAAGGATTGAGTTATAAAGTGATGAATGATAAATTGAAAAGAGATTCACCAACTATTTTGGTGGAATCGCAGTTGTTCAGGGATGACAAAAAAAATCAAAAGAGCTGATGAAATAAAATTTCAATTGAGAATTTTCTCAGTTGCAAGAAGGCCCTTATTCATAAGAATCATGTGTATAAATTCAGCCTTTTGTCTCATTCTAATAATTTTCCCAGAATTAAACTCGTTTAATATTCGTGAATCGTACATACCGAATCACGTCTGACTTGTAGCACACGACAGTCCGCCTGGCTGAGCCTTGACCAATGGAAAACGTGCTCAAGAGATCTGAGAAATTGTCCTGTACAATTTGATGAATGAGAAAACGTCGGTAGTTGTTCACTGGTGGGAAAATCAAAACTCTGAAAACGAAAATTGAGAAAAAACAAATAGTAACCGATGATTCGAAATCCTCAGGATGTCCCGAAAGTAAAATGACCAGAGTAATGCTGGTTACTGCGATTATTGTGGGGAATACCTTACAGCTGAGAAGTTTTTTACCCTCCCCACCAGGTAAATACAACCGGCAAACTTTTACATAACGTTTAGTGAGTTGAAAAACTTTCACCTTCGTTTGGCTTCCTGAAGTACAAGCCCATCTGTTCCCCCACATGTGGTACCATTTACCGTCCAAATAATGACATTTCGGGGGGGAACGTGTGCCCGTTTCAATGACGAATTTCGGACGCAATCGCTGATGTAAGGATTATGCTATGAGGGATCTTTGATGTCATTCTAATAATCGAGAGCTCTCGAATGTTTCGGGACTGTTTTTTGAAAGGTGCGATAAAATGACAATACATTTCCAGCAGCAAATACGAATTTTTTTTCATGAATATTATATTAGGAAAGAAAGAAAATTCATGGTCGTTATATCTATTTAATTTTATCATTAGATTCATTAATGTCTTGAAGTGGCATTAATTATTGAAGGACTGCCTCTATAAAAAAAAACAAAATGTTCGAGAAACAGATTGAGTCGTTAATGCAATTTCATTGTAGTAATTCCATGTAATGACCACGAAATACCATTCACTGTTTGAATTTCGGTCAGTACTACTTTACTCGAGAATAAGAGTCATGCTCCTGAATAACGGAAACAAGAATTCCTAAGCGTGCTTGTAACCACAGTTACCAATTATCCTTGGATCATATGCATTACGCAATTTTATAGGATATGTTGTGGCCACGTGAGTGGTGAAAGAGAATGAAATTAATAAAACCAAATGTATGCGCAAAACCTGTCAATGTGGATATTACAGCGAGATAACATCGGCTGTGCTCTCAGAGATTCAATACCGCAGATAACATGAGATGATGGTCCGTCTGTCAGAGGCAGAAAAATTCATCGAAATTTCGTGTTTACATATCAATATTTTTACTCTCCTTCACTTAATGCTGGGGATTATTCTCGAAATGACGCCGTACAATAACAGTGCCCGAGGGTCTAAGAATAGATAAAAACTTAACCTTCATAACGCTGTGATTAAAAAAAACCAGCTCTAAAAAACGCTAGAGAAAGAATAACTGGAAATCGCCAGGAGAAAATCATTGTTTTTGTTATCTTGATTTGTTGTTGGAGTCGATGAAAAGTCATTAACTTACCGTTTGGCTTCTTTCCGCTGCGAAAAAAGCGTCACGTCGTTCTCGATCTCCTCAGTAAAGAGATTGTCTTGAAGACTCATCTATCAAATTACTAATAATAAACTTCAACTTGTTTCTTTTTATTTTTCATCAACAGCTGAACTATTTGCTGCGATAACGGAAAAATGTCAGATTGAGGTTACATTCGCGCGTATTACGGTATTTTCGGGTTCTGACGGCGTAATCCATATCACTGGACTTCTAGTTTTTTTTTCGCGTTCTTAATTTTTTTTTTCACTGTATCATGACCACTGGCACGAGGAAGTTGTAGAGAACTAGTGAAGATTTACAGTTTACACACACATTTATGCAGGCAACGGTAATATTGTTACGTCTTATGTACGATGTGAATGAGTTTCGCATTCTTGGATACGCTTGGAGAATCGTAGGTTGAAAACCGCTTTTAGGAATACGCGGGAATTCCAGATTTCAGTTATTTACTCTGTTTTCTCTTTTTTTTTTAATCAGAAAAAAAATTAATCCAGTTGCCACGAGCAATTGAATCGCAAACCATTTTCTTTTATTCTTCGTATAACAAAAAAAGATAGTAATAGGCATTCCTACAAGATAATGGCAGATCACTTGAGAGTTATGCATTGAATCGGGATTTTCTGGATGGGAATTAAAGGATTACAGTCTTTAAATAATTTTACTGTACAAAACATATTTATTTCATAGAATAATTTACGATGACATTGACGATGAAATTACTTTGTTCCTTAGAAAATACTTTATACAAGCTTCACACATAGTTTTTTTTTCTTGAACTGCAAATGCTCTAAGATAACGGGTTGTTTCTGTTCACCGAAAATTATCATTTCTACCCATTACCCCGAATCAGCCGCATTAAACATTAAAAAACGGATCAATCAAATAATTACACACGATAACAGAAAAAAAAAAATTCCTGCATTTTGTCAATCTTCCTAGCATTACGAACTCAATAATTATTATCAACACATTATAAGTACTCATAGATATTAGACAGATATGATAAGTTTCACTTCAATAAGCAATGTTTCTGGAGTGGATTAGAAATAAAAAATTGGTATTAAAGGTTTCTCTGTTATTAGATATCTATACGTGGTCGATACTGTAGCCTCAGGGGCGGATCTCGAAACCTCCATCGTGTCACGTAAACAAACTTTAACGTGTGGTCTTTACCTAAGAGTTCATCATTGCATAATATATCAATCTGAAAGAATACAACACAAAACGCTTCATATCAAACATTTTCTACACTATTGTTAAAAAAAAAATAACGATTATATTTGGGAATAATTTGGAAGGAATTCTGCGGAATATTAGATTTGGAGAGAGATAAAAAATATTTGCGGAAAAATGGAATCGATTCTAGATCATTTCAGACATATTGTTCTCTCTGTACTTACATCGCGATATTTTTCCATGCCATTGAGAACCTTTTTGGCGATAAATTTTTTGAGGTGAGTGATGGTTGCTTGCGCTGAACACCTGATAAATCGGCGTTTCAGCGTTTTCAGACTGGCATTTATACATTCGAGGCAAACATTGACCTGTAGAATTACAATAATTGCCATTACCGATGCATTTATATTGGATTTGGATGACGCAATGTTAAAGGGCTACTGAATCGTACCTGCTCATCGGCTCTGTGATAATCTGCTTCTGCATGAGCATCAGCAGAGGCTTTCTCATCTTCAACTTCCCCTGCATTTGGTAATACATCTTTTGGACAAGCAAGACCTCTGGCTCTGTAGAATTCTCGTTCTCTCTTAATTTCATCTGCAGATTAGGTAGTGACAGAATTATAAAATCTGTTGATAATTCAATTTGGAAAAATATATAGAATATGGATTATTGTTCGTACTTTCTTGGAGGTCAGGAACGAGTTTGTAAACAATATCCTGCATGGTTCTGTCGAAACTTATGTACTGCAGTGGATGTGACTGATGAATAACAATTTGACATGTTGGACACGTGCTCTTCTCCTCCAGATGCTTGACAAGACAACTCTTGCAGAATGTGTGTAAGCACTCTGTAACTGTTGTTGCATCTATTAAATAGCCCCTGCATATTTTGCAAGTTATGTGACTATTCAATGTCTTTAATTTGATTCGTCTCTCCATTGCACCTGTCAGCACCATCTAATTGCTTCACTAATTGATCTATAACGAGGACAATGACAACGTGAATAAATATATTACGTCCGAGATATTTAGGGAAAATCAAATCGAATCGCTTGAACAATTAATCCCGTCGAATTAAAGGAATTGTCCAGAGCATATGGACATGACCAACAACAGAATAGACTAATTACACTAGAATTTCCTTTATTGTTAAGGAGGTTATCGTCTCTAACCTAAATGTTATCAGTCACGATAGCTCCAGTTGTCAATGAACCCAGTAATATCGACTCAGTGAACAGATACGGCTTCTTGTGTACGACATTTCTTGAATCCACTGGAATCAACACAATTTGAAATAAAAAAGAATGGGAAATTAATATGAATTTCGGAGAAAAATTTTGGTGAAAAAACAAACGAATTTGTAAATGTGGCAGATGACAACAAAACTGACTGATTCGAGCGACGCCTTGTGCTTCAATGGAGAAACACTGATACAAAGAGCAGAATAAACAGAGATTATAGGACAGATGAGCAGCGCTTACAGAGAAGATTTACTAAAGTAAATAATGCTCAGTTCCGGGGGGTTTGAGTGACCCCAGCGGCATCGTAGTACCTCATCCCAAGAGAGAGAGGGCGCCACACGCAATGCTGGGGTGTCTGCCCGTCAGCCGACTCGGTATGCTGAATAATACCAAAGGAGTAACTTCGGTTTTGTTCGGCTCGACTGGTGGGGAACAGGGCCACAAGTGGGGATTTCGGAGAGTGGGGGTTATGGCCGAGGTTACTCCTCTGACAATATTCACTATAACTGCCTCAGTAGCAGTTCCGCTGTCAGGCGGACCAGTTGATGGGGTAAATGCAATTTTTTGCGTTACGAAATTAGTTTTTGTTCATCTCCGCTGATACATTTTTGAAAATTTCGAATTTTTTAATTTCAGTGAATACCTCCTCGATTCTCATGCTCCCCTAATACTTTTTCAAAAATTTTGAATTTTGAAATTTCAGCGAATACCTCCTCGATTCTCATGCTCCCCTGATATTTTTTCTAAAATTTGGAATTTTGAAATTTCAGCGAATACCTCCTCGATTCTCATGCTCCCCTGATATTTTTTCTAAAATTTTGAATTTTGAAATTTCAGCGACTACCTACTCAATTCTCATGCGCCCCTGATATTTTTTTGAAAAATTTGAATTTTCAAATTCCAGCGAATACCTCCTCGATTCTCATGCTCCCCTGATATTGTTTAAAAAATTTTGAATTTTGAAATTTCAGCGAATACCTCCTCGATTCTCATGCTCCCCTGATATTTTTTCTAAAATTTTGAATTTTGAAATTTCAGCG